TACATCAATTTTAAAGGTGATATTGATATAAAGAGTGTATAAAGTTGGTTTTCTACATAAAATCTATAATTGATGTTAAAATATATCAAAAAATTTTAAAAAAATAAAGGGGCATTTTTTTACACTAGTTTAGGCACCCAACAGATGTAAAAATTGACATTTCTTTACAATTAGCTATCTTTGTACACAAAAATTATCAAAACCAAACAGCAAAATTCCTTTACAACAATTAAAATTCCAACACAAGTCATGATGTAGTTTGACTATCCAAAATTAACAATTACTTAGCAAAATTCATATAAGAAATAACAACAATCAAAATTCTTACAATCAATTATGAACACTATCAGCAAAAGTATCTAAAATTTGTCTAAAATCTACATACTTACTAGACCGTGCAAAACTATCTATAAAACTCACAAACTCTTCACAAAGTGAATTGCCTAACATATACGGATATCTTTAAGGCCTCGTTTGGTATGATGGAAGAGTTTTTGATGGAATCGGAATCGGAATTGGAATTGGAATCGGAATTGGAATCATAATAGAATTGAGTTATAAATGTATGTTTGGTATGAAGATGGAATCTGAATATAATATTAATAAATATATGTATTTAAAATAGATAAAGACCAAAATGCCCTTATAAAAAAAACTCAACCATCATGATGGAGTGTGTATGTGGGGCACTTATGACAATTCCATGGAATTGTGGCAATTCCATCATGATGAAGATGGAATTGAATTCTAGGTATTTTGATTGAATTGAAATCCATAAGGAATTGGATTCATGCATACCAAACAAGTGAAAACATGATTCTAATTCCAATTCCATTTCTCTTGGACCCAATTCTAATGTACCAAACATGACCTAATTTCATTTTCAGGAAATGGATTTGAATTGTTGAACATTTAAAATACAATTTGCAAAAAAAGGCTTATTAACTAATTTCAAATAAGATAATAAAATAAAACTTTAAAAAATATATTTACCTTCACTGTAAATTAGGTCATGCCCAATGTAATGATGTTGAGTATGTGTTTCATCACATACAAGCCACACCAGTTCATCCTCATTGATTGTTTATGACTTTATTTCTTGCAAAATATGATGAGTTAGAGTAAATTCATGTTGACAAAAACTATTAATCGCAAGTTGATCCTTACAATGCACATATGGAATTATAAAAATGTTCTTATTAACTTCATATATTTTTTATTAGAGGTACTTGGCTCTTAACTTTGAATTGTTCCCTTTTTCTATCATGTGATGTGAGAAAAGAATCCAAATTTATTAACTTTGCCTAATATGATGTGCAAATAATGTAGATAATGGACTTTCTACATTGTTTGTGAGAGCAATTAATATAAAAAGTTCAACTATCAATGGCTATAATTACAAAAATTGTCACTGCTTAGATCTTCTATATCATTTGCTTTCCAACTAATATAAAAAGTGTTCTGTAAAATTTTTATTTTGTACTAATGCCCTCACTTCACGTGTTCTTGTTTTGGGAATTGAAAGTTTCCCATAGTGTTAATACATAGTGGTATTAAAAAAAAAAATTAAGTGCGAGCTTTTTTAAAGTATTCTTGACATATTGTTGATACATTTTGATCATTCACGTAAAAACTAGGAGAACTAAAACACGGGCACATGTTATTTTCTCTAGCCTTTTTTTTATAATTCATTTTTAATATTTTAAAGTATTATAGAATTTGTGACATGCTTGAATCTCGTTAACCCTTTTTTAAAAATTGAACAAAGATCTCAACTAACTTGTACCCATCTTTTGAGAAGCTAAAGAAACAAATTTCAAGAACATGAATCAACATTAAAGAAAGATAATATAAAAAATGTAATAAATATTTCATGTAGCGCCTTGTAAAAATGACTAACAATAATAATCTCTCAGCCAAGTACCTGCAAAAAAGACTAAAGGAAAGCTTGACAATACTTCAATTTAAACTAATAATTAGCATCAACTAGTGTTGAATCAAATTATCATGGATTTCAAAATTTAAATCTTAAAATATACAATCGTATTAAGTAAATATATCACAGGCATATCTAAAATACTTGAGAAGCCATTATTGATGATAATAATTTCATACAATGAAAATTTACATTATTTTAAATGGATGGTAATAATATTTTAGGATTTTTAAGATATTGGATAATTGAATAAAGGAACTAGTAGTATTAAATAGTGATCAAAATTATTATATGAAAATGCTGAATAATGGTAAATGCTATTTTAAATATCTTATGGCTTTGGGATACTTATGGAAGTGAGTTGAAAAGAAGGAGAGGAAGAAGAAGCGAAGTTATTTTGAAGGAGGCGAGTCAGCATGAGTCCAACCAAGAAACAAAGAATTTATGAAAGAGGCCGTATATGGTCAGAAGCTAAGCTGGAGTGGCCCATCATGGTCACGTGAAACTCGTCAGAACTCTGAATGATATAACCACGCAGTATGCTGCTCCAGCGTTCTCAAACTATCTCCTCAAATTCAACCTTGTTTTTTTTTTTTTTTTTGAAAACTTGAATTTTCCATTAATTTTACTTTTTGAAATTTTTCTCATAGTATTTTCAATTGATCATTTGAAATAAAATTTATCATCATCATCATCATCAATGCAATTGAATAAGAAAACTATTTTACAAACGAAAATAATAGTAATAAGTTTGATATTTTTAAATAAAATTCTGAATTAGAGTAATGAAAATAAAACAAAGTTTCCCAATTTTGTTTCCAAATAATATCCAAGAGTTTCAAATAAAAAAAAATAAAGTAAAACAAAGAAGCCAGGACAGAAATGAAATTCGATAAATAAATTCAAGGTTGGGGAACTCATTAGTTGATTAATTAAATTTTCGCAAATAAATCGTCTAAGAGAAATTGGATTATGGAACTATATCTAAAATCATTGAAAGAAATTTTTTGGGGAAGAAAATGTGTTTATTATGCATATTATTAATAATAATTAAATTATCTATTTATTTTAAAATGAGAAGTCTATAAAAATATCTTGAAAATTCAAATAAATACTATGTACTATCTGTAAAATTGTGCTTTGCCATGTTAAATTTAGACGTATCTATAAAACTAATCTATCGCATTTAAAATATTTAAAATTTTTTACATTTAAAACATTACTAACTTTTTACATCTAAATAAAAAACATATACCATCAATTTGTAAAGAACTTCGAAATAAAGAATGCAATCACTTGCGTGCAATAATCACTTATGATAATAAATAACACAAGAGAATAAGAATTATTTGCTCAAAAAAAAAAGAGAATAAGAATTAAGAATCCAGACTACACTCTACATCAGCTTCTTTTTCTTTCTGTATCTATGTTTTTTGTTTTTTATACTTCTCCAAATTCATACTATATAGGTGCGCGCGCACTAACTTATTAAGTATAAAAAAAATTAAAATCATTTTCTCTGAAGATTAAATCGAGATAATAAAACTTAATATTTTCTGTCAAAAAACATTATAGAAATGTCATACTCAACCAAAATAAATTGGTCATTATTTAGAAAAATAACAATTTAAAATATTACAATAATAATAATGACAAGTTAAAATATTGATTCAAAAATAACTGAAATTCAGTTATTGAAAATTGAGAAGGTTTAATTGAAAGTCACAAAAACTAGGTTAAAAAAAATGTTGTTGAGTATTATTATTTGTTCGAAATATCATTTTCTCAACTCTGATACTGTATGTGTCAGATGAATATATCTTAAGAATTGGATTGGACATTTAATTGAGAATGTCAGAATATCATAACATTAATGGTTCACGTAACTTAGCCCCCGATTAAACTGATGAAGTAATAATAAAATTTTAAAAAATATAATATTACATGTAATATAGTATAAAAATAAATATTAAATTATTAAATAACATAAAAAAACTTAAAAAATTAAATTTCACGGTGGATGGCACTTTCTAAAAGAAAAATTTGGAGTCCCATCTACCAAAATCTGATTTTTGTTTCAACTCTGATTGCTGGTTGAATAGTGGATTCAAAATAATTCAAAACATTTGATCACAAAAATGATTCAAGATTCAACCGCCCGAACATCTTGGTCAGATCTCTTACATAACAATTATAAATATTAATGATAGTCCCTCTGTGTAGGGTATTTTTTTTTGCTTTTTTCTTAAATATGCAATTAATAAGATTTTTCTAAAAATACTTTTAATCAAGGTATAATTAATATAATTTTCTAATCGAGACATTTTATTAAATAAAAGTAGATACAGAAAAGAAAAATTCTTAGATGAATCTATTATACCACTGTTGAATAAAAACATGTCATGTTAAATAGTTATAAATATAAATTAATCCTTTCATTAATAAAGATAGAAAAATAAATAATAAAAAATTAAAAAGACACTCTTTTTCAAAAATAAAATCATAAAAAGTAATAATATATAAGATTTTATTTTATTGAATTGGTGTAATATAACATGTTTTTATTAAATAGAGTAGCATGACTTGATGACCCAAGGTTTATATAAGAATTTTTCTATGAAAAGAATGGGTAATTTAAAAAATAATTAATGAATCATTAAAAGGATAATTCAGTAAAAAACACTTAGAATATAGAGATGAAAGTGAGTAAAATTTTACTATAGTCAGACTTCATGTATCTCGATGAAAGCAAGTAACCGTTAAAATGGACAAGAGATAAATTGAACATTGGGAGCAGTAGCAGTACTAGAATACTAATTTCCTGCCTCCTGGCTTTGTCCCCAAAACACTCAGAAAACTCCTTCCAAAGATTCCATCCATCTCTGTGAGACCCCCAAAAAAAGATGAAATTGTGGTTTGCACCCTTTCTGTCACATGCATTCCTCGCTTCTGAACTCCCTCAGTTCCCTAGGTGAATTACTATATACTATTCTTGCCTCTCTTTCTCTCTTCATTTTTTTTTAAATTTTCCTCTTAAACTTTTGTGCAAAAAAAAAAAAATTCCTCTTAAACTCTTTCTTTATCGGTCATATCTGTGCGATTCCTTTCCGCAACATGCAACTATTTTTGTTAGTATTTTAATGTTCCATGGATCTCTAATCCACCCCTCTCACTTCCTGCACTTCTCAGAATTCCATGGTTTCATTCTGCAACCTCTTATTATTCTTCCTTCCAACACACTCCATTCTCTTCTGTTAGTACTTCACTCTGATTTAGCTTCCTTTTGTTTTCTTCTTTCTAGCTGAAGAGTTGAAAAGGACTTGAAGATTCTGGCTTTTTAAAAAGGGAAAATACTTGCTGTGTAGGCCTGTATGTGTTTGTGTGTGTTTCAGAGTGTCATTTGAGAATGAGATCTGTGGAAGAAAAGGGGTGCTATGGTCATCAAACGCAGGAGACCCCAAATTCGAGTGCCGTTTACTTCGAGTTTCACAAGGGGACCAATCGAACCACTTTGGGAAAACCCACACCATCTAAGTGGGACGACGCTCAAAAGTGGCTCGTGGGGTTGTCGTCTTTGTCAAGAGGAGGCGAGAAAAGCCAGTCAAGAAACAAACCCAGAAACTCAAACGCAGATGACCTGAGATTAATAGCTCCTCTTCCACAGAAAGAGCAAGATTTTGACGAGAAAGAAGAGGAAGAGGAAGAAGAACAAGAACAGAGAGAAGAACACACCACATCTTGTCAACGCGAGGTAGAGGAAACAAAGAAGGTGGAGTGCGACGAGTTGTTTTGGCGAATCAACAAGCCAACGAGCCAAAACGCAGTATGTGTTCGATCGATATGTGTGAGAGATATGGGGACGGAGATGACGCCTATGGCAAGCCAAGAGCCTTCGAGAACGGCGACGCCGATCAGAGCCACGACTCCGGCGAGTCGAAGCCCCATTCATTCAGGGACTTCGACGCCATTGAGGAATTCGAATGGGGGTAATATTGGAAATACAAAAAGTCATGCGGCAGGAGAATTGAGCCCCTCCGAGAAGAAGTCGGAGAATCCAGCAAAGAAGTTAAGTCCTCTTGAAAGCAGAGCATTGGCATGGAATGAAGCCGAACGGGCCAAATATACGGCACGGTAATGCTGTCTATGAATTAATCCTACGATTTTTTTTCTGCATGTTTTTAACAAATAAATAAATAATGGCTGTTATTCACATGAATACTCTTATCACTCAGAGCCGTGATTATGATTAGTTAGTATATCTGTTGTAAATAATGTTTAATTTATTAAATTCGTTATTATTGCAAAATTTTAGTGGTGGGAGACATCCGTGTTGCTGAGATTGTAAGAAGTGGATTAGAGTTTTTTTTTTTTTGTATTATTTTACCCCTAGTATAGAAATTCTTAAACTATTAAATTATTGTTTCGACTGATTTTCTAAAATATTTTTTGTTTAAAACTAGTTTGATGAGGAGTTAGCTATCATTTTGACTATTGCCTCTGTGATTTCAATGCCTTGTTTTAAACTGATTTTGAGAATGTCAAGCTTGATGATAGGTTCAAGCGCGAAGAGGTGAAGATTCAGGCGTGGGAAAACCATCAGATAAGAAAAGCTGAAATGGAAATAAAGAAAATGGAGGTAAGTACAAAGGGATTCCGATCTCTTCCTCATATCATTTAGTTTTTCTTTTAATTAAAATATCATATCTGACGAGTAGCCTGACAAGAACTTGCATTAGAGTCCCTTTGGATAGATTTAGAAAGATTTGTGTGAAATGATATATCATGATTTCATTGAAACAGTAGGCAATGATTTAGTAGATCGTTTTGAAAGGGCCATAAAAATCAGATACGGCTCGCCTTTTAATGAGCTTCACAGCTTTGGTAGTAGTATGTTGTTATGAGTGTTTTAGAAAGCTTCAATTTCGAAACAAGATGAAAAAAGTTCGTTTGAACTTTGAATCAGAAGTGACAGAGAGAATTATTCTTGAAAGGATCATGGCATGGCAGAGATCTTTCCCAATGCTGCGTACTGTTGTGAGCGTGAGTGGTCACGATTCCAAGTTTTAGACATATGCTTTCATATACATGTTCATGTCACATGTGCATATTCATAAATTGTGTAGTTCTAATTTCATCCTCTCCATACTTTCTCTTTCAATACATCTTTTTATTCTCAATTTTAATCATTCATTTAATTATTATTTTAATTTAATAGTATGAGATTGCTAATTATAATATTAAAATAAATATAATATTAATATTAATGTAATGGTTATCATAATAAATATTATGATCTTGTTTTAAAAAGCATTTGCTTGATAATAATAAATATTTTATTTATTTTAATATCATAATTAGTAATCTCATATCATTAAATCACGAAACAACTGTTGAGATTGAGTATGGAGAGAGATATTGAGAGAGAATATAGAAAGAATCCACATTTGTAAACTGTTGTCAATAAATTCTTAATCTAATAGAGATGTAGTTGTGTCCATTGCGTATACAAGATGAAAACGATTTTAAGGGAATTGAAAAAAAAAAGTTGCACTCTTAAAAAAACTAATTCACCTTTTTTTTTGAAAAGTAATCATGTAATATTAAATTAAATCATGTTTGAGATTTTTCAAGATAAAATTATCAGGTTGAAGTATTTATTACTGGATTCTTTATACAAATGCAAGCTGAGCTTAAGTTGTCAAAATTTTGTGCAGTACTTTTTGTTAAATAGATGTACATAAAAAAAAAAATCTCCTGTAGCTCACATAATTGCACACATTATATATTGAAAAAATGACACTAGTTAAAAAAGACTTGTGATTTATTAAAAAAGACTTATGATTTATAAATCACGACTTCTTAAGAGCGTAAAAAAACGTTGTGTAGTGTTTTACAATGCTACATAATATCATTATCATCATCATCATCATTACTGTTATTATTATTATTATTAGATAAAAATGCATCTTTGATTTTTTTTAACTTTACACAAATTTTTATTTTGGTCCTTTTATAAGATGACCTTTTAATTTTAATCCTCCAGCCTTAACACCATAATTAGTAAAGCTTAAAATTCAGACATACTTATTTAAACTCATGTTTATAAGAGTTAGAGTTTTAAAAATAACATTTTTTAACAGAAATTGAGCTTTGAAAATCAATCTTGATAGGCTTTGAAAAGGACGTCAAAAAAGCCCTTTTAGGCTTTTTTTGTTTTACTCATGAAAAAAATAAAATTTTTACATTGAATTAAATTTTAGAATATATGTTTATATTTTAAAATTAAAATTTGTATTATTTATTTTAAATTTTTAAATATTATGATCTGTATTTTAAAAAATTAAATATTATAATTAAAAATTTTAATTTAAAAATAATAAAATAATTAAAGGGGCCATAAGCTAAGCCATTTAAATGAGAATTAAATTTTAGAAAATGGTGAATTTTGAAGTAATTGAGATTATAGGCTTGGGCCTATAGGGACCTGCTCATTTTATTATTAACAAAAAAATGCTAACATTAAACTTTTAAATATCAAAAAAATTATTAAATTTAATTTTTAAAATAGCAATGATTGACAGAAACAATCATCACTTGTGATTAATTAATTAACAGTGTTAAAATCAGATAATATGAAAAATACTTTATAAAATTAAAAAAGTAAAATAAAATTTTAAATAAAGTTAAATGATAATTTGAACTTTTAAATTTTAATCAGAAATTTTAAATTGTACCTTGTGCAATGTCATTTTCTGTGCATTTATCTTATAAAGATGCACGGAAGACTCATACAGGTCAAGACTTAGCGGACAGAAGCATGCATGTATTTGCAGCCTTGTAAATATACACGAGAAGGCTTACGATTAGTCTCTCTCTCTCTCTCTCTCTCTACAGGTGAAAGCTGAGAGAATGAAAGCGCGAGCACAAGAGAAGCTGGCAAACAAAGTGGCAGCAACAAGGAGGGTAGCGGAAGAGAAGAGGGCCAACGCAGAAGCAAAGCTGAATGAGAAAGCTCTGCGGACTTCCGAGAGAGCAGACTACATCCGAAGGACTGGACATGTCCCTTCTTCTTTCTCTTTCACCTTCAAGTTTCCTTCCCTTTGCTGGTAGCTATATATATGTTGTTATCATGCATTCACCTCTCTTACAGTCACATTTTAATTGCACATAATCTCACTCTTATATTTGCAAAACACGAAATTAATGTCCTTTTTATCTTATGTTCTTGTCTCCCTGTATACATGTCTATTCATCATACGATATACATGTCTATCCATCATATGATAGAGAGATAGAGAGAACGTATATTGCATCGGATTGGGTTGGTGGTGATGAATGGTGATGGAAAATGAATCTATTGTTGAGAAAGAGACGCAAGATTCATTCATGTTTTCGCATGTTGGATGATATGTGTACCTAGTGGTTGAAAAGAAATAAAATGACGCGTTTCTTTATTGATATTAATTGATATTTTCATATGCTTTTTTAACACTCGTATGTACTTTATATATAGTATCCTTGTTCAGCGCCATCTCATGACATTTCTAAATTTTGGAAAATTATATATGTAGAATTGAATTAAATGTTTGTAGTCATTCAGTTTAAACCTGTGGTATATCCAATGAACTGTGTTTATATTATGTTATATTATTTTGGAAAACAAAGAGAGAGAAAACAGTTTTGACAGGTTTGTTAAGTTTTATAACAAGTGAATGTTGTAGTCTTAATTAATATTTTTTGATAGTCTTGCAGGGACAAAAATATTTCATTTTAATTACTTTAAAAATAAAATTATTTTAACTAATAGTTTAGGATGTTGGATTCTTCTTAAACAATACTTCAAGAGAAAAAAATATATTTTTATCCATGAAATGTGTACATTTGAAGAGATGGAAGTAATCCTGATTGGAGTCTAGAATAAGGGCCAAGTCTAAAGGGTCAGACTTAAAAATCCTATTTAAATAAGTATTTAAGCTTGAAAAATTAGTTATTTTTTGAGAAATTGAGTTTCTAAACTTCGCCTTGATAGGCTTTGAAAAAAGGGCTCGAGTGGTCTTCAAAGCCTTATTTTTCAAAAGATCGATGATTTTTTAAGTATTGTGTCATTAAAATAATTAATGTTGGTTTCTTTGTCATTTATTTTAACACAATATTGACAATTTTTTTATTAATTTCTTAAATACGATTACTTTGCAAGGTCTATTTCTTAGTTTTAATTAATATTGTAATTTGTGATACACAAGTTTTTATATTTATCAGATTTGATAAGGTTGATCTAAATTAAAAATTTCTATCTTCATTTTAAAATTTAATTTAAATTTTATATCTATATTTGTATTTATTTATTTTATTTTTTTAAGTAAGACAAGCTTATGGGCCTACCTTGAAAATAAGGGTTAGGTTTCAAAAATTAATCATGTTTTTAAAAATCAAGCTCAAGAGTAGAGGTAGAAATATGGGCTAACCCAACCCATGTGAGTTAGCCCATATGGATTGAGAGAAATGTGAGTTGGATTGAGTTCGAGCCGTTTTTATATAGGGTTAAAAAAATCTCAATTTAATCTAACACTTGAGGGTTGGCGAGTTAAATAGGCCAACCCGCCAACCCATTCATTTATTTTTTAATTTATTTTTTTAAATTTTTTAAAAAATACATTTAAATAATAAGTTTCAATTTGATATTGTTTCATAATTTATTCTAAATAGACCAAAATATTAATTTATAATGTCTATACAAAATATATAAATTGATATAGCTAAGTAAGTGATGCCTAATACGGTTTATATCCATAAAATTTTCTCCTTTTTTCTTTTTTTAAAAAATAATATGGATTAAATGGATCAATCCTAACTCATATGGTTCATGGGTTATATGGTCCGAGCTAAAAAAACCCATTTTTATTTGGGTTTTTTTTTTAACCCAACCCGACTCTTATGACCAGTTATTCAAGCCAATTCACATAACCTCACCTATATTCCCGACTCTACTCAACAGCTTTAGCACTTAAGGGATGGGCGCATAGCGGCCAAGTCAGCCTACTTTCTGACATCTAATCCTAGTGCAATGTGAATGTGGAAATTTGACAATAATTTCTTAGATATAACAAGAAAATAGAGTGTAAAAAGGAAAATGTAAAAAGGAAAAAATGCAACATAGAACTCATGTAGGAGATGCAACTATTATAATGGAAAAAACATAAATTTAAATTCTTGTACTTTACTCAAATTTTACTATTAATCCTTGTACTTTTTTCGGTGTTTTAAGTCCTAATACTTTCATTTTTTATTATTTTAGATTCCTTCATGAATAAAGTGTAGGGATCTTGAAGAGATTTAAAATATTAAAAAATAAAAGTGTAGGAACTTAAAATATTAAAAAAATATAAGGATCAAAATTAAAATCTAAACAAGGTACAGGGACTTAAAATTATATTTTTTTCTTTATAATATATATATATATAGGTAATAATGATGATGGTAATTGATTTCAACCTGGAGAAACTATCTAGACGCACACACAATTAATGTCAGTCTTTATGATAACTTATCTTCTCCCATCATTTATTTCATCCATATATGATAATATTTTCATCAAAAAGAAAAGTACAAAGATCCTTTTGGTTGGTATTGGTGAAAATTGAGGGAGAGGAACGGAAAGCAGCAAACAAAAAAAACAAAAAGTAATTTAGAACAAGTTTGATATGGAAGGGAAATGAAGGTAAAGAACTAAAGATTGTCAATTTGGAATAAATATATAAAGAAATGAAAAAAAAACGTGAAATACCTGAAATATCCTTGCTCATCTGAACACAAAATTTCTTCCCCTCATTTGACCAGTATATACTCCTGACACTTTGATAATAAAAAAACCAAGTCATATCCATGAAATCGTCACAGAAATCTGGTAAACAAATTGAAATGATTTGGTTCAGAAAAATCCAATCAAGTCCATACGGTGACATAATCCAAAAAACCAGAAAGAAAATAGACTGAAAAGCAGAGGGCACAAGTTTTGGTTTTGTATGTCTTCAAATATGCTAACACAGCTTGGGGCATTGGAACGAGTGAAAAGGTGTGTTTTTCGTGAGAGGGAAACGGAGGGGGTGAGAGTTACCTACCCCCTCCCATGTTTGACTATCAAAAATTTATGGAAATGCCATCTACTTCTAACCATCCCTTCAAAAATATGGTATTAATATTATTATAAAATATGTATTTTATGTTCTTGAATTTACGTCACTTTTTACAAAAGTGACATAACAAATAGAGGTAATAATAATTTTATAAATAAGTATTAAATATGTAAGATTATCCATTTTTTTTAAAAAAGATATGGATTGTAAAAAATAAAATCTTTTAAATTATTAATTTTTTGACATTTTTCATGTCTCTTTTTTTTTAAAAAAAGGATGTAAATTGTAAAAAATAAAATATTTTAAATTATTAATTTTTGAACATTTTTTACATCCTTTTTTTTTTAAAAAAGGGACATGGTAACTTACCACGTCACTTTTCTTAAAAAAAGAATGTGGACTATAGAAAATAATATATTTTAAATTATTAATTTTTAAATATTTTTCACGTTCCTTTTTTTAAAAAAACGACGTAAATTTCAGTCAGTTTTTCAAAATTAAATCGAACCTCTTCCTTGCTTTATCATTTTATATTTTGAAACCTAACTTCTCTCCCTCTTTTCCTTCAACAGTAGCACGTCTCTCATTTCCTCCCTACTGTAGATCTCTTCTCTCCTCCACACAACAACTCTCTCTTCTCCTTCCCACTGCATCGAGACTAATAACATCGAGATCTATGGTCAACAAACTGAATAGAGACCTAAGGTTAGCATTCAACGGTGAACATTTGACAGACAACTCTCTCTTCTCCCTATCTCCTCTTTCCCCCACTTGATGGATAGCTTCAAGACCCACGGGACCCATGGTCGAGATCCATAGCTTCTCTTCCTCTTTTCCCTGGGCGAGCAATATTTGATTAATGTCACTTTCACCCACAAGCTCTTTTTCTTTATGGATATTTCTGACCTTTGCTTGAGCCTTCTCAATTATATTTAGTTGCTTTATCAATTTTGGTATGGTTTTATTTTTTTTATTTCATTTTTAGGTATATGAAATCTATTACTTGCTGAAATGATAAAATAAAAATGGCAGATATTTAAATATAAATTATTTTAATATTTATTTCAGGAGAATCCACATCCCTTTTTACAAAAGATGGACATGAATAAGTCAATTTTCTATGTCACCCGAATTTATGTCCCTCATGATAGGGACGTGAAATGCCCTAAAAAAGAGACATGAAAAGTTTTTTTTTTTACTAGTGTAAATGAATTGATAAAACATATATATGGGTGACATAACATTTTTCACATCTTATAAATGTCATGATTTATTAAAAAAATATGAACAAATAAACATTTAAATATTAGTTTTAGTGTGAAAAGGAAATTAAAATTTACCGTGTTTGAGTAGTTCTATCGATCACTCACCATGACCTTAATTAAAAGATCATTAACACATTTGTCCTTTAAAAGTGTTAACTATCAAGTTGCATATATAAGGAAGAAGGATTTAGTTTGCTTCAAGTATTTAGAGGATGGAAAAATTAAGCTATATGCTTACCCTCCTTAGTCACCAAAATCAAATAATGAAAAATAATAAAAATGAGATAAAACACTTTACTCAATAGATTTTATGGTAAGTAATCATCACAACAGATAATGATACAACTATCATATTTAAAATGAACTCATGAATAGAACAGAAAAATAATAATCTTACTTTTCTGGCTTTAAATCTTTAAGAGAGAGATTAGTCAATAAAGGTTGAATACCTACAAATTTGGTAAAACATATAAAATTCATTAATTGAGACAAGATGATATTGGATAAAAGGACTCATGATTTTCTCCCATTAGAAAGGACTGTTCCAAAGCAACACACAAGTATTTTTTCATTGAGGTCCCCTAGAATAAATATAAGATTAACAAAAGTAAATGGAATAAAAATTATATTGAAAGAAGTTTTCAAACAAATTAGAGAAATTTATACATGTGAATCAAATATCCGGGGAAAACAAAAGGAGAGTAAAGAAGGTATTAAATTTTTTTGTTATAAACCCATTACAACTAAATAAAGTTCAAAAATCAAATAATGTTCATGGAGTGAAGATTGAGTTAATCTTGAGAAAAATGAGGCTAAGAATACATGGATATTGAGTCTAGAGAGAATTGAGGGTGAGATGGATGAAAAATTGATATTTTTTGTGTGAACTTCCATTATACTCAAACTTAAAAGACATCACCAATTTTTGGATGTTGCTTTATTTGGAGTTGCAGACATGATTATTGACACTCACAAAAGAGGATGGCACAAGAGAGGATCCCACTCCATGCCCTATTAAGGACACTTGGGGGGTTACCTTTAAAGAAGGGGCAAGGTGAACAATTGTATAAGGTTTGAGTAAGTATTCAAAGATGACACTTGAGCATCACGCACGATTTGGTGTAGGTTGACATTTCCTGAGCATGAAGGGGAAAAAAGAGCTCGAGCACAATCTAGGTTTGTTGATTTGGGTTTTGTAAATTAATTAGGGTTGTATTGCATTGTAGATTTGAAATTATGGTTTTTTGACTAGTCTTTGGGCTTGAGATTAGTTTGCTGCCATGTGCAATGCTACTCTTCGGTTGTTGATTGCTACTCTGATAATCTCCATGCTTGTAAATGTTGTTGAAATTTCTTTCTGAATCTACAACATTTGGACTTCGATTTTTCTTTTTTTTTTCTCATTTTAGTGTTGCTTCCTCTACACTTCTTGTTCTCTCCAATGCTAGTAGAAGGGAGAAGTTTTTTATGTGTTGCTTTTAATGATCTTGAATCGCAGTGGTTAACTCAAGGGCCAAATCATTGGTGACATGGGAGGAAATTACTGGCAAGCCTAAATTTCGAATTGGATGAGGGGATAAAGCTGGAGAGGCAAAAGAAAGATAGGTTCCACCTTCAAATTTAGATCACCATGTAGCCAACATAGCATTTAACTATCAAAAATAAGAATTTAATTGTCAAAATTAAGATTTGGACCACTATTCTACTTATATCAAGGTGATATTGTACTATTTTAAAAAATGTTAGGATGAAACTACACTCAAAAAAACTTAACAATATTGGATGCACCTGGCTAAAAACTTTAAAGGTAGATTTGTATCGTAATCCTTTTTTAATGGAAAGTTGGGATTGGGGATAGGGTAGTCTTATAATTTTTAAATTAAAAATTTGAAATTATGAATATGTTACATAAGAAAATTTGAGCTTGAAGGACATGTGACATTATCATACTGCTAGCCATTCTACTTATATATATACTATAAAATTGAATTTGATTATTATTTTTTAATTATATTATTTTTTTAAAAATTATTATAAATATACATTTGAAATTAAATTGGGATAATGGAAAGATATGTGAGAGAGAGAGGGGGTAATTATAATTATTTTTAAAATAAACAATAAATAGGAAAATTATAAAGGACATGTGACACCACTAGACCTGAGCTTATAATTAAAATGAGATAATGGATAGAGATATGGGAAAGATGTAGTTTTATTTATCTTGAAACTAAACATAGAATAAAAAATTAAACATAAGGGACACGTGATGTCACCAACCATAAGCTTTCATTCTACTTATATATATATATATATATATATATTAAAGTATACATTTAATATTTTAACTATACATAATGTTTATTTTAATCTCTTAACTTTTTAAAATATTTTTTTAATATTTTAACTATAACACTGTTAGTTTATCCCAACAAATTTTTTTATTGAACTTTTAAATTTTGACAAAATATTATCAAAATAGTCACATATTAAGTTTAATTTTTTTTTAGAAAATGATAGATACAAAAAATAATAATTTCAAACTAATGAGATTAGAGTTAAAATACTAAAAAGATACTTTACAAAATTAAAAAATTAAATTAAAACTTTATATAAATTTAGAGGACTAAAAATATATTTTATTCTTTATATATATATATAGATATAGATTTGAATGGAAAAGATAATTTTTTTTTTGTCATGACTAAAATGCCTTTGTGCCAAAATTTTTTTTGTAATCCCATATCTAGACTTGTTTGTTCCTGCTGTTATAAATTCTGCCTAATCAATTGCTTTTGTTGTGTTAGGATCATTTGCGCCGTCCGATTTATATAACCATGTTTATCAACGTTACTTTCACGTGGTTAATGCTCTGTTTGGCTGTATACTCTTCTCTGTTTCGACTCCACCATCATTCTATCGCTTGAGTACTGTCGCCATTTGCTCTCCGGTTCTGTAACACATATTTGTCCTATCATCAAAGACCTGCTTTTCTTGGCGTTCAGTTTGGGGGTATGTGTGTGTGTCTATATATATAACTTGCAAAGACAGACCATTTCATTGCTTCACCAAAAAATTACACACTTACCATTAATCTTCTCAGCATGAGTATTTTTCACTAAAGAGGTCCTTCTGCATAACAGTAACCAGAGGGGTTGGTGGCTGATAAAGGCACCTACCATACCTCTCACACAAAATCATATAAAAACGCTTGAACATGGAAACGAGTGACGGAAATGGTAAGCACATTCATGGCCAAGTGTAACAGTACAATTCTTGGAGGTTGCCTCAAAGACTTATAATTACTGGAGAGATATATTATTGTGTGTGTGTGCGTGCGTGTTAACCATTGATAATTATATAAATATAATTATATATAAAAAGACATTCACGATTATATTTTATTAAAATGTGAAATGGAACTTAAGGCTTCGAGATTTAAATTTAAATTTGAGATGATGTAACTTTTAGTTCTTAAGTTTGTTTTAGTTGTCAATTTAGTTCTTTAAGCTTAATTTCTAGTAATCTTGTCCCTTAAATTTACACTGGTTATGGATTTGTTGTGAAAAGATAAAATTATTCCTAATGTATATATGTTGTGATGGGAGAATTAATTGTTGTTAAAATGAGAATGAGATTTTTTTTTTTAAATGAAGACTTATTTACTGGATTACAACAATTCCTATCTACCTAGTTAATACTTTGTAGTTGTTAATGGAGGAATTTAATCAATTTATTATTTTTAGAATGAAAATGAGACTTATTTTTTTCCTAAATATGAGCTTGTTCACCAAATCGCAACACTTATTTCTCTTCACTACTAAGTTACTTTTTTGAGAATTGTCAATAAGAGAATTGATTGTTATTAAAATAAAAATGAGACTTGTTTTTATCCAAAAGGAATTTGTTCACCAAATCATAATAGTTATTCTTTTTTATCATTAAGTTAATTTTTTAAAGTTGTTAATAAAAGAATTAATTGTTGTTAAAATAAAAATGAAATTTTTTTTCCTGAATGGAGATTTATTGTTAAAAGAGTGTATACACACACACACACACACATATGAGGGGATTTTGTCTTTTTCACAAAAAAATTAATTCAACTTAGCTCTTTTGATTTTGCTGAGTAATATCAAAATTATTTTTTCTTGCAGCGCAATTAATTGTCTCCAATGGTTCTTAATTGTAATTTTCCTAAAAAAATTTAATTTTTTTTGTTATAAAAGTCCTTTACCTTTTTTTTAAAGGAAAAATAAATATTTTAATCATTCAACTTTTAATTCACTTGTAACTCAGTCCTTCAAGTATCATTTGCTGCGACTTAATTTATTAATTTTTGACTTATCTATGACTCAGTTTCTCAACTTTTGACTCATTTATAACTTAATTCCTCAACTTTTGTTATATTTTTTATGCTAGCTTAGATCTCAAATCAAAAGAGTAAGAAGATGGTATTTTAGAACAAAATATGAGCATTTCTTTTATCCTTTTATTTGATAAGGATAGTTTTTTTTTTAAAATTGAAAATAAGTACCAAGTTATAAGTAAGTTAAAAGTCGAGGAACTGAATCACAATGAATTATGATGGAGGAACTGAATTATTGTGAGTCATACTTGACTGATTGAATTATAAGTAAGCTAAAAATTAAATGATTAAAAGATTAATTTTTTTTAATATTAAAGTCATTAAATTTATCTAAAGGTCAGGATTTATTAGGCATAGTAAGCCCAATTAATGGAATAGCTCTTTGGCCGGCCCAAATCTGCGACTTTTACCATGACTGGACTTTAATGAAAATGTACTTTTATTTTGGATTTTCGTTTTGAGCAAGTCCGCGTGCTTCCTTTTCTTTGCGTGGTCACGCCTACTTTTCACCCTCCCTGGACGAAGGTCGCTCTCCTCTATCTCCCCGTCGCCTGCCTCTGTCGCTCTTTACCTATCATTCGTAAGCCATTTCAATTCGCTTATCATTCCCTGTTTAGTGCGAGGATCGATGATTCTGGATCAACTCCAATGATTACCACTGTTTAATATCTCTTTATTTTTCGTTTCCCCCCTCTCGATATCTTTGAATTTCTAGGCTTTCATATCTGATCCTGTCTGTACCCGTCGATTTTGACTGCACAGTAGCGTCGCCGTAGGACTTCTGTTTATCTTCAAGGGCGTGGTTGTCTGAAATCGAATTGTTATCGGATCTGACTTCGTTGTTAGGGTTTCTAATTGATTTACGCCTATTCGTGTTCCTCAAATTAGAAATTCCAGGCTGAGTTTTCTGTGCTCTGGGTTTAGGGTTTCGCAAGCAGAAATCCTACGTCTGGTTGGAGAGGGATCAGGGGTTTTGCCTACAAGTTAGCATTTAGGTACATTTATGGCTGCTGGGAGACATGGAGGCTATCGCGACAATGAATTTAGGGATCGTGAGTCCAATTTTGATGTCTCAAGGCGGGGATATGCTAATTCTGAGGAAGATTACGATCGGATTAGGACTGGTAGCCGCGATGATGCGAGAGGTCGGAGCACGAATGCAAGAGATAGAATTAGAATGAGACAGAAGGATATAAGGGAGAGAGAGGCGATGAATGGGAGTTATCATTCATCTTCAAGTAGGAGTAACTCGGGGAGCAGCAGTGGTGGCCTTGGTCCCAAAAAATGTGGTTTTTCTGTCAAGGCAACGGATAGGGAGCCAGGTGAGCTTTCCAGCGACAGTGGCTCTGATGAAGCTATTGAATCAGAACCTCAGGGGAAAGGCTTTGAGGTCGCGAAGGTTGAAAAAAATGGGGCGCTGTCTCCGGTGGAGAGGAAAAGAAAATTTTCACCGATAGTGTGGGATCAAGATGACAAAGAAGTCAATAGTTCATCCAAACTTAAGGTGTCCACAACTTTGACTGCTCTTCCTCCTCCACCACCACTGCCAAAAGCATTCCGTCAGTCACCTAATGCTCCATTTGGTGGAGTGGAGATACATCCCGTGAACAATAGAGAAACTGATAGTCTTGAGTTGCCTACAGCAGTTAAACGTCCTCTGTCCTCTGAGTCAGTTCAGGATGTTGATACCGAGTCTACTGTCAGAGTGGTTCCTTTGTCACCGGATCAAAATTTGGGCAATGATCAGGAGGCTGAGCAGCAAGAGGGTGACGATTATGTTCCAATGCATAATATATCATCTTCAAGATGGGCAGCTGGGGATAACTCTCCTGGCGATGAAGGTGAAATTGTAGATGACGATGATGAATTTTCTAAAAAGAAGAGGAGGTTATCGCCAGAGATATTGAATACCAGAGTACGAAACAAGCTGTTGAGCCCAGAGGAATCAAAAAGAGATGGTTACGAAGGAGCTAGAGCTAAATCATCTGAATCTGAAGAAAGAGGTAGCCATGGTAAAATCTCCACTGGGGATGATCATGCTGGTATTGGATCTGATAAGGATGACTATATGGAAAATGATGGTCAAGGTGTTAAAAGTGAAACCACTGTTAGCCACTCGGATACTGCTTCTGAAAATGAAGATGATGGAAGGGAGACTCCAGATCCCCCAGCTCCACCGCAAAGAGTTGTCAACATGCTTCAGGGTTGTAGAAGTGTTGATGAGTTCGAGAGACTCAACAAGATAGATGAAGGAACATATGGTGTTGTATATAGGGCCAAAGATAAGAAGACTGGGGAAATTGTGGCGTTGAAGAAGGTAAAGATGGAGAAGGAAAAAGAGGGCTTTCCGCTGACTTCTCTTAGGGAAATAAATATTCTACTTTCTTTTCACCACCCATCTATAGTTGATGTTAAAGAAGTAGTGGTAGGTAGCAACCTTGATAGTATTTTTATGGTGATGGAATACATGGAACATGATCTTAAAGGACTAATGGAGGCAATGAAGCAGCCATTCAGCCAGAGTGAAGTGAAGTGCCTTATGCTCCAGCTTTTAGAAGGCGTGAAGTATCTTCACGACAACTGGGTGCTTCACAGGGATTTGAAGACTTCTAACCTGCTTTTGAATAATAGGGGTGAGTTAAAAATTTGTGATTTTGGGTTGGCTCGTCAGTATGGGAGTCCATTGAAAACGTACACGCACCTGGTTGTTACTCTTTGGTACAGGTGAGTGTTCTTACATACATTTTTTTGTTGTCGTTTCCTTAATTTTCACACGTTAATTTGTGCGCAATTTCTTCTTTGTCATATTATTGTTTGCTCCTAAATGTTGAAACTGTTGCCATTTTGTCATTCTTGACACATCGTATAAGATATAACCTTGATTCTCTGTCAACTATGCAGTAAAAATTGCTATTACCTATGTTATCTTTTATCATCTGGATCAATACTTTTTGAGTTCTTCAAGAATTCATGATTGTGTATTTTGTGCTTATGATGGACATTCTAATGAAGTTATCCTGTTAATATTGTGGTGTTACTGGTTTTATTGCTCTCTGATTCAACACGTTTCTTGCCATGCTCTCTTCTAGAGTTCATCTACTTAATGGTACTTTATCTGTTTCCTCAGGGCACCCGAACTACTTCTGGGGACAAAACAGTATTCGACAGCCATTGACATGTGGTCTCTGGGTTGTATAATGGGTGAGCTATTGTCCAAAGAACCGCTATTCAATGGGAAGACTGAGTTTGATCAAATTGACAAGGTACGTTTTCCTAGTTAGTTTCTATTTGTACCTGCTAAGTTCTTGCTGTTACGTTTTCTCCCTTTTAACTATTAGCGCCCCTAGGTTTTTGGCTGCTGATCCATTAGCATTTGTTTCGTTATTAGATTTTCCGTACTCTTGGGACACCAAATGAAACAATTTGGCCCGGGTTCTCTAAATTACCTGGAGTGAAAGTCAATTTTGTCAAGCATCAGTAAGTATTTGTTATTTCCTTTATTAATAACATTGCTTTTTGGTTCCGTGGTTCTTATTTTTTGCCACTGTTTTCCCAGGCTTCGAACTTTGGGTGGTTCTGGTCTGGCTATCTGGCCTCCCTTGGTGAATTTTAAAGTTACACGACTTTGTTAGTTTGAATTAACTGCCAAAATGTTCCTTTCAGGTATAACCTTCTGCGCAAAAAATTTCCTGCCACGTCATTCACTGGTTCTCCAGTTCTCTCTGATTCTGGATTTGATTTGTTGAACAAGCTTCTTACTTATGACCCTGAAAAGGTAAAAGGGTCTTATACATTAATTTTCTGGCTTTATTTGGCAAATATTTCAGTACTTCCATTGACTTGGTAAGACTTTCTGCTATATGCAGAGGATCACGGCTGAAGAAGCTCTCAATCATGAGTGGTTTCGTGAAGTTCCTCTTCCCAAGTCTAAAGAATTCATGCCTACTTTTCCTGCTCGACATGCTCAAGAGAGGTAAGAAGCTACTTGTATTAATAGTACCTTTCTTCCTCTTAAATGTTCATCTGACTAATAGATGCTTGTTATGCTGCAATTAGGCGGACCCGAAGACTATTAAAAAGCCCTGATCCTTTGGAGGAGCAGCGTAGAAAGGAGTTGCAGCAGGGTGAATTGGGGACTGGCGGTATTTTTGGCTGAGAATCATGCTCTGTAAAGCTATGGCCTTGATAATCATTCTAACATGCTCCGCTGATTGTTTTCATGGATGAGGTGAGAGAGTGTACTGAGCAGAAGTTGCAAACATTGTTAAACAATCACTTGTGCTGATTTTTTAGCAGGCACTTGATTTTTGCGGAGAATTTGTGTTCTTTTACCTCCTGGGATCGTTGGCCAAAAATACCTCCACAGATCCAGAATTCTTTCAGGTCAATTTCCTGCCTGATTTGGCCATCATATATATACGAACTTGGAACACTGCCAGAAGCACAAGGTGTGGCATAGCTGCCTTATTTTAAAATAGGAAAAGTCAGTTTTTGCTGAAACTTGTGTATGTAACATATTTCCATTATCATTGTAAACAATTTTATCTGATTTTGAGTATTAAAACAGTATGGAATTTCTAGATGCTGTCTTTTCTTTCTTTCTTTAATATTAATATTGTGTTTGCAAGAGACTGTTGGTGTGAAGTGGCAGAGGGCCTTCTTGCATTTCACTGAAGAAATTGACAGTAACATTGTGCTTAAAAGGTAATGTATTCCTTTAATATCTCGGATATTAAGGGATATGGATTATTTTTATTTGTCCATGAGGTATATTGTCCATAAACCAATGTTGTTTGCACGGGCACATGATCAGTATTTTTTAATTGAGTGATGCTACTCATACGACCATATTGGTTGGTAATTACAGTTGTGTCTGAGAAGAGTTGGGTTGTTGGCTATGTACAGAGTAAACGACTGCAAATAAAGTTGTCTTGTGAGCAATTTGATTGTGGGAGTATCATTACTCAATGTGCCTAGAATTTTTCTCATCCTTTCTGCATAACAATCCTGGCTGAGGATTATCAATGTCACAAGGCTGCTATTTGTGTGGAAGTCATTAATTGGATAAGCCATGATCCCATGGTTTGGGTTCTGTTTAATACTAAATTTTTTTATTTTCATGAAAAACGAAAGGTCAGCTCCAGTGGATCTTATTTCTGAGATTTCTCTTTTAAAAAAACTAATGACTGGTCATCAACTTTGTTTCTGTGTGTACAAACTAATTGATACGTTAGACAGATTGTTGAGATGGGTTGATTGGGCAGAAATGTTACTTGCATACGTAGCGTTTGATAATTAGGACAATTCAAGAGGATATCTATGATGTTCAGCTTTGTGTTTAATTTGTGTCATGCCATTACCTATTATATTTAAACAACTTCAGGTCGCTTTGGCTAATGCACTGTATGTAAATTGGATATAAAATGCTCTTAATTCTTCAGATATGAACTGCTGGAAATTTAAGTGTGTTTGGCTATCCATTTCTAAAGCCCAGTTTGCGTTGGTAAATCCACTTTCTTGAAAGCAACTTCTTTTTGCATCTGCAAAAACAAGTTTTGGGTTGATATTTCATTTGGAAATAGTTTGAGTCACCCAAACGAGCATATATCAAAACTAGGTTGGTAGAAAGTCACTTGGAGCCCTCTAACTGGATAGCCAAACACACACCAAGTCCCTAGCATATTTGATTTTCCACCTCCCTTGGGGGGAAAACAAATATAAGTATTGTGGATTGTACACTTTTAATCAGTTCACACTATGATGAATTATTTTTTCATGCTGGTGCCGGTTGAATTGTGATGTCAAGATCTCAATGATCATTCACTGGATAGGTTGCTCGAGTTTGTTTTTTTTTTCCCCTTGCTCTCGTTTTTTTTTATTGTTATTTATCTTGGTCAAATTTTTTTATTGAATACAGTCATGACTCTTGGGCCTTTTTACTCATTTCTTCTTCACCCCCTTTTCCCAGATATATAATTATAACTTTTTTTCAGCATTTTAGCCTTAAGTGAGGTCCTCATCTCAATAGAGCGCCTATATTATGAGTTCTTTGAATTAGCTACTTCTCCAGCCGTTTGTTAATTTTCCATCCATTCAGGATCCTATTTAACTATATTGGATTCATCCTCCTTCCCTAACACCAAATAAATTGCTGCGTCTTTTCACTATATCATCTGTGTATGTTGCTGTACCTAAAAATAAATTACTTGCTTAAAAGAATTGAAATGAAATGAAAATAATTCATGTCGTTTGTACTAATGGAAAATTGAAGTTTGGGCTGCTACAAGAATTCTTTTATGACATTTGTCTGCAAATGTCACTGCAGTATCAAAGCACGCAGGTTGAGGAAGTTACTCGTTTACCCTGGAATTTATAGAACATCAATTAGTTGTTCCTTCGGGCTCTCTAGAGGTACTGTACAAACCTTGGTTTGTTATAATGTATTTATGAAGTTCTTGCATAATCTTAAGATCAGAAATTGTTCCTTTTTCTGTGCATGCCCTATTATTATGTGATGTTGCAATTCTATTGTTAGCTTTGAGGGTGGAACTGATTAGTTGACATTGGTCTAGGGCACGACTGAATGATAGTTATCACTTAAGGGAAATCACCATTCTCAATGTATCCTAATGTGGTTGGTTTAGAAGGTCACTTGTGCTTGGACTGTGGTTGATACTTTTTAAGATGGTAGGATGGACTTTCTTTTCAATTTTATTATTTACATTTTTCGTGGTGGTTGATGAAATGGAAAGGAGCTGTCATCTGGGCTAATATATGGCAAGGTGATGGAGGGGGGAACATTTTTTAACTCTGAAATAACGTTTGTATGCATCCTATTTAATTAATTCTATCTAGGTAGTATAATGTTGAGCTGCAGTTTTTTTTTTTTTTTAAAGAAATAGAAGATAGCCATTCGTCTTTACCCTGCAATTTATGGAGAACAAAATATATGGGATGATATACGATATTCTCACAATTAACTTGTAATAAATACGCTTATGACATAAGGTGTTTCTCTATAATATGCATCCTTCACATTTCCCAAAGTTCCATATTTTATTTTGTTTGCTGGTTCTGATATGGTGGAAAGTTGTTGCTTTTCTGTGGATTATTTATCACAAGTCTTAGAGTAATTATTTTGGAAGACATATATTATCAATCAAATTTTGTCTTAAAACTGGATTAATATCATTCTTGAGGCAGTAAGTGGTAAGGTGTAGTTCAAGTTGATGTGATGAAAGTTTTGCTACGTGTCATGGTTGATATCTGCAGTACCCAGACCGTTTGTTATTGAAATTTTTTAATGCTGTTTTTCTAATGTACAGATAGAATGTAACATATATATAACTATCAATTGAGCTTTATAAACATTTTTACACAGATTTATGAAAGCTTTGACAAAATTGATGTGGTTCTTGTCTAAACTTTGTGTGCCTGTGGCTATTATGTAATCTGTCACATGGTATAAACATAATTGCACTTGATGGTGCGTGCTTGTGAGGTGGGATGCAATGCAAATCATTCAAACTCAAATATGATCAATTTCTAGTTACCTCTTCCCAAACAGGCAAAGTCCTCTGATGAAAAACTCTTAGTAATGACCTTACCTGCCAAGGGTACAAATGACTGTAATGACACTTATCGTGATTGTTCTGCTATAACTATGAATGTAAGGGTGAACCAAGATGATTTTGTGATGATTTGCATAGAAGTTTTTGAATGGCAGAATGCTGCTTAATTTGTGCAGTTTTGATTTTTATTCACTAGTTGATCATTCTTTTTTAATTCTAACGTTTTGCCTGTTGCTGTTGGGATGAGGTGCAATCCATTCTCGTGTGATGCCATACCTGGTTTATTACGTTCATTCTTCCTAGCATGTCAACGTACCACGATGGAGGGGTGTAGTTAGCGCAGGTTGCTGACTGGCAGTTGTGCATGATTGTCATAATTTTTAGTCAGTCAATTAATGTATTTGCTATATTTCCGCAATCCACGCCAATAATTAGAGGGGACATTTATGTTTGTTCTAGAGCCCGCCATCAAGCTTTGTGGGTTTTGTTTTAGACAAGGAAAATAGATGACTTGTTTTTGCTTCTATAAATGCGTTCAATCTGAGAATATCAAACTACGTTATAAAATTTTAGCGCTCTCTGTAGAGGCCATGCCAATCAAGCTTTGATTAATGAGACTCGACTCGTGTAGGTGGTTCTGGGGAAAACATTTGTTTAATTAGTGTTAACAAGAATAAATGCCTCATGCATGCTGAACTGAGCAACCCATAAATAAATGGACAAGCCATACGAATTGAACGTACAACAGCTGGAGAATTATATTTTGAGATGCCAATGTAACCTTGGAATGAATGCAGCGGGTGAGATGTCACTTATGTCGATCTTGCAAGGCTGCTGAACACTTGGGTCAAATTTGTAACCCAACTAAGGTTTGGGCTGGCCTGAAAAGCCCAAAGAAGGCACCAGTTCATTTCTTTTGCAGGGGTGTTTCATCTGTACAAAATCACATAGAAAATGTAGACCGTTTAGTCATTTATTTGATGTTCCTTCACAACGCATCATGCCTTTCAAGGAATCTGCATACTTAAAAAATGGTAGTATCGGAGCAAAATCCAGGCCTTAAAAATGTGAAAGCATCAGTAGCTTCAAGAAAAGGTTTACATCAGAAGTGATATATTCTGCTTGATAAATGTAACATTTTCTATAGAACAATTTTCACCAAAGCTCGAGGCATTAATATATGAAAGCATCGCTAGTAGCATTTTAATTCAGTTGTGTACTTTTGGGGCAATATTCTCCACAGCCAGCAATTAAATTTATAATGTCTTTCTTTAACGACCATTGATTACAATTGTGACGACTTGTGTTATTCTAATTGAATTTAGGTATAATTTGATTCTTACTCAATATTACTCAAAAGTCACGTTTTGAACATCAAACAAAATATCCATAAGTTATCATTAATCCCCAAAAGGCAAAACATATAACAATCATATCATTTATCAATTTTTTCACTCTCCACTAAGGCTGTTCAAAATTCAAATTGATTATACTAAAACAAACTGACATAAAATGATTAAAACCGATTATAAATAAATTTTAGCAAAAAAATCAATTGAATCGATTTAATTTAAGTTCTTGTCTCTTGAAACTTGAACTAAATTAAACTAAGCCTTATCCTATCTATTTTATATATTTTTATAAATTTGTCTAAAAATTTCTCTATCCAAAAATTAATTATCTATAAATTACTAGTTTAAAATATGTTACAGTTAGTTAAATATTATCTATAATTTTTGTGATAATTTTTTAATTTTATAATCAAGTGTTTTAAGGATAATATATTAGTTTTTAATAGTCAAGTGTGCTAAATAATTGTTAAAAACTATTTTTCTCTAAGTTTTTTTTTTGAAAATACTAATAATAGTTTAAAAATAATAGTAAATATTCCCACACATATATATTGATTATTAAAAATATCTCAAAAAAAAAAAACTGAAACTTAATTCAAACCCAAATTAAACAGAATCAAATTGCTTAACAACCAAACCAAACCAAATGGATTAGAAGAAAAAATTGAATAAGCCCCAAATTTTGATGAACATATTTGCTTGGTTCGGGCTTTTTTTTTCTCAGAACGTATAAACCTAAAACACCCTTACCTCTCCCCACCCTCCCTCTACTGCTCCACTCCACCAGCCCACCCCAAACGACCGAACCACCATCGGTGCTGGGACTGCGCCCACAAATTAATTTATATATCAAATCTTAGAAACATTTAAGAAGTTTTGTTTTTTTTAACCGAAACTTAAGTAACGATTAAAATTATTAGAAGTTCCTATAATAATTATGAAGATTATTTATTACATGACATTTTTTTTGAAAAAAAAAAGAAAATTCGGAATCAATCCATGTGTACAGAAAAACGAGGATAATAAAACGAAATACCTCCTGGGTCGGGCTGGATCACCATAGATAGAATACTCTGTGCAATATGCAGCCCGGTTATGAAGCTCGACCGGTCCAAGTTTTGTCTTTCGACGGAATCAGCTTGAATCACTTAGACATAGTTCATCCCTATCGGAAGGCCTCCAAAACTGTACCATCGTCCTGTTCCGATCATATCCTTTTACCAATCCTGTTCCTGCCTCAGTTTTGACTGTGAAAATCACACTTTGACATGCAATGATAAGGAGAAATAGCTACAAGACACGTGAAATGATTCACAATTAAGATGCAATAATGCCCGCCGTTGGTACCGATTTGCCACATACATCATCATAATATGGTCTTGCTCAGCACGAAAGTAACCAGAGTAAGTTCAAGAAAAAATATCGTGTTGACAAGGGACCGGTCAACTACCCATCCAAATATAGTGATTCCTCCAGGATTCGTTTGTAAATACATCACTGCATATCAAGAGTACAATATATGAGGCCTCTTACAAAATATTGGCAACCTCCAACTACGCTACAGAAGAGAATTTACCAACTTCAAAATAGATGATATAATATAGGCAAGTCTGATAGAAGATCAAGCATGACATCGTAAAAGAAACTTTCGCGAAGGAGGTAAAAGATCAGAATAGTACTTTTGCGACCCTGAGTACGTATGGGGGTAGTAAAATTATCAAGCAATTAGCTTTTGCGATATTAATCTTCACTGCTTGGGTGTTTGTATAAACGTGTCAGTTAAGTCACCGATTAAAACAACTGACTTGTATAAGCAAACACTACGGAGACAGGCTGTGGTTTAGTTACGTACCAAAGGCTTGTCTCTTGTGATGCGAGGACATGTAAGAAGCCAGTTGGCTATTCGTAGGCATCACGTTGAATTCCAAGGATTCTAGATCACTTTCAGAGGAATTAAAATTTAAAGAATTCAAATGGTTTGCTGTCTCTAAGCTACCGGTACTAGCATAACTTCTCAATTGAGACGCATCGGGAGTGGCGCATGTGGCTAGAGCATGCCATCTGCTCGCAAGTGAAACAATGTTTTGAGCTCTGTGAGAAATCCTTGTTGCTGCATGCAGACAAATAATGATTCCGACCACCTGAACGAGTGTAGAAACCTGAAAGAATGGCCGTTTTCGTATAAACCGTAGGTTGAAAGTTCTAAATCTCAATCAAAATGGCTAAAGTATGGCTGGTTAAAATAACAAAAATGGGAAGTTCTTCAAACTACATGGAGTATGATGGGGATATTAAAGCTTGAACTTACAGCAAAATCTCCACCATTTGCAAAAGTAATTATTCCACTATATGCTGTGACCTGTATCAGAGTGACAATTTGGCTAACTGTAACAACCAAGAACCCTAGAAGAAGATAGATTCTAAACCTGTGGCTTATCTTGGAGAGATGATAGCGTAATCGAATGTGCTCTTCCATGAAAATGAGCACATTAGAATCCCTTTGTATGAGCTTCCCGTAATCATCGAAGTGGATAACTTGCAAATTGCAGATCAAGTGAAACAAAGTGCTGGCTAATAGGGAGATCGTACACACATAAGTCCAGGATATGATCGAAGCTACTGAAACAGCAAACGAAGGCCACCATGACTCATGATTTACGTGCGAAAGGCGAATGATTTCTCGAATAGTCTTCAGAAAGAAACATGTCGATCCCCACAGAGCAAATAACCGAAAAGACTCCTAAGGCCAGAGAAAGAATTTTTAGCATCGCCTGACAAACTCGGAAACAAAAGAGGGGCATCCAAGTGAAAGAGAACTAGAAATTGAACTCTGGTTTGTACTATATCTAGTACTCCAAGAACACGAAATCAAAAAATTGATATTCACATGATTTGGCAATATGTTAAGCAAACAAACTGGGTGACATTTAGTTGACCAAAATCTGACAGCGACACATCTTCAAGTCGCAGGCATACTAACATATCACAGAACAAGGGATGATCGACTATCGGAATCTAACTTATGCTTCTTCAAATATTGAAAGTTCATTTTGAATTCATCAATTGAAATAATCCAATTGATGAATTATGTTAACAATTTAAGTAATTTTAAGCAATTGATAGAGTATTTCAATTGATGAAATACTCCAACAAAGCGAGGAACTCATGCCATACATCAATTCAGATGTTCGCAACGCTATTATTAGCTACTGAATGATGTTAACTAGGGCTGTGCAAAAGTCTCCCAGTCCTGTCTGGTCCAGTCCAACCCGAGATGGTCTCAGTCTTGTTCGGTCTGTATAGTCACTGGTCCTTCAGGACCAAAAGGACTAAAAAGACCAGACTATTTTTCGGGTTGGACTGGACAAGAGACCAGGCATCCGGACCACTTGGTCCAGTCCAGTCCTATTAATTTTTTTTATTATAATTATAATTAATTTATTTTTGACAAATGTTTAAAGTGTAATTGATGCTAAGGAGATGATTGCATAAAGATTTATTAAGTTTGTTTCTAAATTGTTATTGTAATATAGTGTTGTTGAATTTTTTGAGTACTGTTTTTATTAAAGTTTATAAATTTAAATAATTTAGACTATAACAAAAATATTTTTTTCTTATTGTTAGAAATTATTATGGATTTATTATTATTATAAGTATTTTTACTATCTTAATTGAGTTTATTATGTTGGAATGGATTATTGCCTCTCATAGAATAAAAAGAGGGAAAAAAAGCTAAGTGAGTACTGGACTGACAGGACCAGTCTCCCAGTCCTATGGACCAAGTCCGGTCCTGTTAATCTTCGGGTTATTACTGGACAAGACTGGACTACGGGTTGCCTAACCCAGTCTTTTTCATGAAAGAGACCGGACTTCGGGTTAGGGTGAAGTCCAGTGCCGTCCAGTCTTTTGTGCAGCCCTAATGTTAACAATTTAAATAATTTCAAGCAATATCGTTACACCTCCGCTTGAGACGATGAACAAGAAAATTCAAGATTCCACATAAATTGGCCACACGCAACTAGCAAACAGCTTAGAGGCTTGAATTTGCTCACCAAAACCTGCTTGACGTAACGTTCGTGCAAGCTCATCAGTTTTCCACTGTACCGATCAACAAAGAGGAACCTCCTTAGACCATACTTGCGCAGATTGTGAGAGAGACAGAGCAAGGAGACGGCAGCGAGACACGCCTGAAAAGCAATTATTTCTATCTCGAAGTCCTTCCTTTGATAACCCTCGCAGTCGGAACAGTCGCCGAACAAAAGCGCCACTAGCGGAACTACCACGCCGATCACCATGAAAGAGGTCCAAGACAGAGCCAAGTTCAACGACGACGATTGCTCGCATCCAAGCAATGCGAGAAACGTTTCTATCCGGCGAAGCATCTGATCCAGCTGAGTCTCCTCCGGTTCGTCATGATCATCTCCTTGCCTCAGGCGGCCTTGTCCTGCTTCGACGTCGTTTCGATCTGAATTTGAGGTGACCAAGGGAGTTTGAGCATGAGATTGCTCTGCTCGTAGAAGGAGATTGGAATTGGAAGCCATGGATTTACTGTGTTTAAGGCATTTCCAAATCAATCAGTGATTCGGAGGAACTCTTGAGATGGCTTGGATTGATCGTTTATAGATATTTTCAAGGTCAAAAGCGACCAGAATTCACTAAACTGATAGATTTCCTTTCCCTTGCTTGCGTCTCTTGAACGATAATATGAACAAACCCAGCGTAGTGAGAACGTCTATTCATTAAATGGCAAGAAATTAATTATAAGATGAACCGGATTTTCCAATCAGAAAAAAAAAAGAATATATATGATCGCATATTTTTCTTTTTATGTGACGAAGTGTGGCACTTTTAATAAGATTCTATTGACCATTGTCTGAAATATTTTTTTAAAATGAGACGTGATTTTATTAAAAAATTAAATATTATTAATTATAATTTATAAATAATAATTTAGAAAACTTTTTTTTTTTAAAAATAGTTATCTTTTCCTGATTCCAAAATTGTGATAGAAAGATGGAAAAAGTGACTTGGCGACGTAGGGAATTGGGCATACGCCCTTTCCCAACTTTTCTGGGAAATGCAGCGACTGGAAATTATATATACTGCAAAAGCGCGCACACAACGAAAGATACATTTGTAGTTTGCTTTGTCTTATCGAGTGAACTGAATATCTTGAATTTTTTTTTTTCATTATTGGTATAATCTGGAACTTAATTTAAGTGAATTAATGCTTCCCATCTTAATGGTAAGATATTATTACCTAATTCACGTATATTAAAAAATAAGTTGGTTATTTAATTTAATTTGTTAAAAATTTGTCTTATATTTTTTTTAATATCACTCCTTTTTAACTAGACTAAGCAAATCTAATTCAATCAATTTATTAGTAATCAATACATAGAGGTAAATAAATGAGAGGAAAAAGACAAATCTTACAAATAAGATCAAAATAAAACCAAAGCTAACTCTTGTAAATATATTAAATAGGACTCAATGAATTTGACCAAAAAAATAGGACTCGAAGAGAGAAGTAAAGGGAAATTATTCCAAAAGACCAAATTCAAAAGTTTTTTTTTAAATATCTTTTCACATAGAAGGACCTTGATCTTTTATAATAATTTTAAAAATTCAAGATTTTAAGAATAAAAATATTTTAAAGATGGTCTTAATATGATGCTAAGATAGAGGAAAGAGAGAGAAAATAAAACATTTTTTAGAAAATTTTTTTTGATAGATCAAGTGTACCACGTCATTTATGGTTTGTTCAATTAGAATGCTTCAATTCATCTAAATAAAATCTTAAATGACATTATTTTAATTAATTTATTCATATAATAGAATTCATAATTTATTTATTGCCTTTTCTCTCTCTATTTTCATTAATATCAGAATTAATTTATATTTAATACCATATAAATATCATATTTTTATTAGATAGATCACAAATAATGTGACATACTTAATCTACCTAAAAATTTCTCCCTTTTTAGCCAAAAACATACGTGTGAAAACAGATACACAGAGACAAATACGTGGAGACAGAAGCAAGGGCATGATATGCCTTCATCCAATTTTTTTTTTTAAGTAAATACCTTTATTTCCCTTCCAATTTGTTAAAATTATATTGACCTTTTTTTTTTTTTGTCCCCAGAAACCTATGCCTTAGGTTTGGCTTGGCTGGGAGATTTTTCATAAGGAGGAAAGAAGAGAAATAAAAGTTGCTTGGTTGGAAAAATTGAACGGAGGGGAGGCAAATTTTCTCTCACTCCTCTCCTCCCTTCTTTATATTTATTAATTTATCTTTTTAAAATTCAAATATATAATGATGAAGATTAATGAAGATGATTAGAATTTTAAGTTTCATTATCATATTATAGGGCCTTTTGTGTTTGATTGGATCGTGCAATTTTAAACTTCAGAACATTTATATTTGATCATTTAGATTTGAATTGTGCAAGCCAGACTTCAACCATAATAAGCAAAACCCATAAAATCTGCGTCCAATTATTTTCAGACCAGCCTGTTTCCTAGCTCTTGCTCTAAAAGAATTACATGGGGTCCTCTTTGCTCAATCTCAGCGGTCAAAACTCAACCACCATGGCAACACTTGTAGCACCACAGGTAAATGACTTCAACATGGGGGAAAAATATCTGACGGAAAATAAGGAAAGAAATAGACCAGTCCGGATTACACCCGACAAAGAAATTAAAATAAGTATAATTACGAGATGGGTGAAAATGACTGCAATTATATGAAAATAGCTAACTATAAGATATATATCGTCCTCCCTCAATTGGAAGTTTAAAATTCGGCAGGCATACGCAATAGCTAACCAGCAACCACCATATCATCCAAAAGGCATTTAAAAACAGAAAACTCACCAAATTCCGAAGTGACCTTTTATAACGTTTATCTCGGGAAACCAATCAGGAAAACAAATAATTTTCTTTATTTTCCCTCAGAACATATTTGTAATGATGGTTCATCTTCATCCTCGTCGTGCTCATTGCTTCCCTTAAAACGCGTCAACAGTGTATCATTTTTGTCTTATAGTTAACAGCGATATTAACTAATTATATATTGATAGTAACTTTCATAGGCAAAGTGAAATTTGCATTTTTCTAGAGAGGATTTATTGTCTTTCCTTTTGCAATGATCGGTCCAATCGTCTGACCTTTTCATTTCCAATTGCTTCAAAGGGGCCAAGCCTGTGAAAATGCAATGCTTCCTGATATCAGTTCAAATTAACCGTCCCCAGTTCACCTGCAAATGTGCTCCCTCGTGGTTTCATGTACTTGAAAAAAGGACTTACAGATCATTTCTCTGATTTCTCCTTCATTGCATGCTCTTCAAGGGGTCTAAAAGAATCACACACACTTCTTCAGCCACTTGAATCAATGCACCCAAGCAGCATCAAGCCACTAATGCGTACAGAGCAGAATCTTCCAAGGTTTGCTGGAGATAGTTGCTTGAGGATGACAGACATGACGGAGCACAGAACTGGATTAACCAAATGTCAGATCATGCTGGTTCAATATACCAGCTACTCTGTCACTCTAAAATTATCAAACTGCCAATCATGTCAAGATCACCACCATCTCCTCATGTGTATATGGGTAGTCATTTCTTGCCTTTGCGAGCAAGAAACCGTTCTCTAGCAGCTTGGATTTGGCTTTTACGGTCATCAGGAATAGCGGCAACATTGGCACCCTTCTTGGGCAAATCTGGAGCTTTTTCCTCGGGTTCCTCATCAATGTGACCAAGTCCACCACTGCTTCACATAAAGGATTACAAAATAGAATCGACAATGAGTATGGTCCTTCAGAAAAGGAACCAAAAACAGTCACATGCAAAACCTGTCCATTTTCTTAGAAAGGTTGCAATCTTAACAAACAGACTAGGAAAAACATAACTTTGTATTTTTGCACTTTGTTTGCATTTTACTATTGGTCTTTACACTTTTTTTCCTCCCAATATTTTAAGTCCCTACACTTTTATTTTTTGATACTCTAAGTCCCTACACTTTGTTCATAGAAGGACCTAAAACATTGAAAAATAAAAATATAGAGACCTAGAATATTGAAAAAAAGTGCAAGCACTAATAGCAAAATGCAAGTAAAGTGCAAAGATCTAAAATTATGTTTTCCCAACAAACTAACCTCAATTTGTGGACATCTAGGGTCCCAAGCTTGTTGATAATTGGCATAACCCATCTCATCTCAACAGAACACACGTTTCTCATGTATGGACGTGGAGTTGCAATCAGTTCATGGTACACAACATAGTCTGGGAACTTTCCCAGTTCGTCTGGTTTAAGCACAGAGGATGGATGCACCTACAATAAAAGTTTTGGGTCATTAATTTAATGTGGCTATGAATTCACTATTTAGTCAACAATTACCCAAAAAAAAAAAGGGATACCGGTTCACCTAGTGGGGTTTGATTATGAGAATATGGAGTTTAAGGGCAGTTCTTTAAGAAGAAATAACATCAACAGAATCAGATCATCTACCAAAGAAAAACAACTGACACATATCACAGTAAGCGACATGTATTAATACCTGAACTACTTGGGCTTTAAACCCCAGAGTTCGATAACCATTATGATGAATCTTCCTTTCAGCCAGCTGATTTGCAAAGCCTACACACAAAGCCTTCCTCAAATTTTTATAACCCTGCTTCTCTTCACTTTTTCCATGTGCTCGTACATCCAGGGGTCCTATTGCAGAACAATATCAACAGGTAAAAAGCAATTGCTAACAAGACAGCACGGTAAATAGTTGAGGGATTCACTAAGTTTGAATAAAAAAAGGGAGGGGGAAAAGGATAAAAGGACAAAAAGAGAGTACAGCTACAACCACCAAAACCTTGAGCATTTCTTCTTTCGTTTCTTCCCTACTTTCACAAGGAAATAAATTTCATTTGCAACTGCTTGTTAAGATTAAAAAAGGCATAGTGGATTTGCAAAGAAAAAAGTTGAAGCGGAGGGATCTGATAGTTTTCTGAGTTCTGACGTTTAAGTCAAGACATGGGAATAAATATGCTGCGAACTGCTCAAGCAAAAATACATCCATTGACAAGCAATAACAAAAAGGTTCTAGTAAAATTAATCAAGAATTTAGACTACAAACCCTTAGCTATTTTCTGCATTATCTGGGATAACTGTTTACGAATGTCTTTGACAAACAACATCCCTCGCACCTGCAATCAGTTAATTCTGATAATTATAAAAAAATTTGTTGCAAGGAAACATATCTAAAATGTGTTTCTTCTTTAATGGGAAGGATTTTGCTCAAGAGAGCTTGACCTCCTAAACGGTCACGCTACCACTGTTTGACACCTCAAAATGAACGATTATGTTATACATTTTGGGGATCTAACAGCAGAAGAGCTCAACCTCATTTCCATTGCATTCCCCTAATGAATTCTGGATATGTACTCTCATGAAGTACTTACAGAAGAATCTCTGAGAAATGCGATATATTTTTCCCCCCTTTTAAATGCTACTATCATCTTTATTGAACAAGTGAAATATAACATACACAGCTAGAATCTATTAAAGGTACCTGCAAATCATTGTCTTTACACCAACCAATGTCATAATCACTCTGATCCCAGCGCTCAAAGATCTGCAGCAACTGAATGTGGTCGCCGAAACCTGAACCATCAGGAAGGTTGGACATGGTGTGTTTCCTCTTTTTCTCGGTCTTACTGAACATACAAGGAAAGATACGAAAGCTAAGTTACTTAATCCTTATTAATACATAATTGAATAAATCATAGAACCAGAGGGATACACACTAGATTTTTCTCACAACACTTTCCAAGAATAGAGAAGATAAAGTATTTCTACATGATATAATCAAATATAAAAGGAACTACAGCTGGCTCAACCTCCACCCTGATAACAATGATGTTTCAGCTGACAACATGGCAGCAACTGTCAAAGCTTGAGATAAGCAACCATAATTATTTGCCTCCATTAAAGTTCTTGATAGAGAAGGTTCTAACGGAAGCTCTGTATTGTAAAGGGGGAAAATCAACAAGATCAGATTATATAGAATGATAAGAATACTTGAGCAACCTCAGAAAAGAAAGGATGACATTTTGTTTACACTGAGCACAATTCCCATTGCCAAGCACAAGTGAAACACACTTAAATGACAATACTGCCAACAACTGACATTATCTACGGAAAAGAAGTACACTAGTGGAGTTAAAAATCTAGGGTGCAAATTGACATGGCAAAACAGTTCAGCATGTATTCGTGCAAAACCTCAACATTCACATTTAAAATGCAAAGAAAAATATAATACCAGCCATTTTTTGTCCAACATTTGTTATTGTTCCATGTTCATCAATAGCATCAATAAGATATAATTGCTTCAAGGCATCTTCCAAAGTCTCAGCTGCAGGAAACCCAGTCAACAAACCAGAGCAAATCCCATACAATCACTAACTTCAAGGATCGAGAATATCATAAGTTGAGAGACTAAAAGCAGACACCATCTAATAGCATCAATTTTTTTTTTTGGTTATGTGAAACAGGACAATGAATAGACTTTCAAGGAGCAAGTTGAGAATTGATCAGTCTTGACAGAGTAGAAGTGTCATTATACCAAACATTTATAGTTTTTTTTTTTAACAAAAAACTTACACGAAGGGGGATCAAGAAAGTCAAATTTGAGGATATCAATATCTGGGAGGTCCAATGACTTTAAGTAGAGAACACAGCCAGCAAGAGAAGATCTCTGTATCTCAGGCACTGTAACATCTAAGAAATTGTCCTCATAAACTTTGGAAGGGTACAGACGGTAGCATTTCCCTGGACGTGTTCGTCCAGCCCGTCCAGCGCGCTGACTAGCCTGCACTCTGCAAGGTCACAGTTTACTTTAAATCATTATGTTTAAGTTTTAGAAATTTTATGTCAAAACATTTAAAGAAAACTAAAATGATTAACACAAGAAATATTTTTCTCTTGGAGCTCTGCAAAATCTAATGGTTCTTCAGGCAGCCAGCAAGCACGAACCAATCTTTTTCAGAAAGATAATAAGAATCCAATTTCTTTCGTGCAAGACGTATTATATCTATTCTTTGAGCTACAATGAGATATGCAATTATTGGTTGCTTACTTGCTAATCTGGACAACATCAAGCGAATACATGCCAGTTGATGGATTGTACTGCCTTTGCTTTACATACCCAGCATCAATAACATACCTAAAATCCACAAGATTATATAAGAATCCAACCATAGTCAATTATGTGCCTGATCAAAATGAAAGAGGAAAGTGCTGTTATTGTCATCTTATGAAAATGTAGCTTTGAGCTATTTGGTCCCAAAGTTAGGCAGCAAATAAAATAACATTTAAAAACTAAATATTAAAAAAAATTAAAATAAAGTATGGTCTGAAAGATAGAAGTTAAAATGTATATTTGGGATCGCAAGAATTTATTTAACTTAATAACTATTTTTTAATTATGTAATTTTTAGAATACAAAAAATTGTTGGAATTTTAATTTTTTTCAAAGAACAATATTTGAAGCAACAAGTGGATTATAATGGGGGCATTCCAAACATTTTTACTATGGTGACTGAGATGCAAACAAATGGGCTACAGAAAAATAAAAGCATTTGTATTTGTTATCATTATTATTGAATTTACCTTTGAAGTGATATATAGATAGTCACCTAACCGTTCATGTCATTAGTTATGTATTAATTGTCAAATAATATAAGTGTCACTATCCTTACACAACACCGTCAACAGTCAAGGAAGTTTCAGCAATATTTGTTGCAACAATAATTCGCCTGCAATCTGGGGGTGAAGGGCTAAACACACGCACCTGCAACATCACACTGGAGATGCATCAGACTTTAAAGTGCTTAACATTGTACAAGACCTCAAAAATGCTCAATCATATGTGATATTTTTTCTTTTTCAGATTAAGCAACTTGTATGTTTTTAAACCTCAATTGCAAGCTAAGAAAATATGTCTGATGAATTACTGAGAAGCAAACAAGATAAAAACAAATCTGAAGAGGAAAATGCAAAATAAATTATTTCTAGCATTAGTTGCAGCTCTCGATCAGTCAACTTTGACAGAGAGAGAGAGATAGAGCACAAGTCCCAAAAGCAGACATACTCTATGGAAGAATACTTGTTTATTCCAACACTAACACTACACTTTCTAGGAGCTTTAGATTTAATGCATCAGTCTATTGAACCTTCAATTAAAATATGCATTCTGTAAAGAAATAAACTTAGAGTTTGATTCAGTAATTACGGTAATGGCATTCTTCCACTCTCAAGCACGTTTGTCAACTAGGAAGATTATAAAAGATGCAAACAACTTGCCTGCATTTCGGGTGGCAAAGAACCATGTAGGGGAAGGATTATAGCATCCATGCAAGAACCCTCCTCAAGGGCTTGTACTTTATCTTCTAACTTGGAAACTAATTTCTCTATATCATCCTGCACAAGGGTCATTAGGACTAATTCAATTGATACATGATGTATCATAAACTCGAACAGTAAAGAAGTAAGTTAAAGGGTGAAATCCACATAAAAGGAAACCACCTGCCCAGTCATGAAGATTAAAATATCACCTTCTGGTTGCCCAACATGTATATCTGTAACACAAACATGCTATTATCAACTGCAAATAGGTTACAACTTTGGAAATAATAAAGCTGAAATGGAATGTGTGCATGTCAAATCAACACAAAAAGGGCAGCGTGTTGATGTCTTCTCAGAAGCTACCAACCGTTCAATCAGTAAAGGAGCTAAAAGGAGTGAATATGGTTTTTCCACATCATACGAATATGGAAATTTCATATTCAAATGAAAAAAATATCCCTCTTAGCAGGTCCAATAGTCCATTTAGAACAATTTTAACTACCATTGCTCTCTTTATAAATTTTAAGAACCATGGTGATGCATTTTGGCTGCATGTCAGCTTGAAATTTATATCATACCAATTGCCGTTTTCAGAGACGATTCGAGATAGCTTGAAGGACGTTCATTGCTATAAAATATCTGCACTGGATACAACTTTCCTGGGATGGTCAATACGGGGCAATCTGAGAAGAACTTTGATACTTTGTTACCATCAAGAGTTGCTGATGTGACTAAAACTTTTAGATTAGAAGCACGAAGTCTAACCAAACGTTTCATGAGCCCAAGCAAAATATCCCTGATAGTAGTCATCCCAACCAAAAATTACATTAAAAAAAAATTGAAGCAATCAGAGACAACTTTGTCTAACATATACAAATGAGAATCCTATACTCAATCTAGTCCTCTATATAAGGCGTTTTCTAGAAGATAAAGTTGGTCTAATTTTTAAGGTGTTGTGCCAAAATATCAAATGATTTTTCCTTTTTATCCCAAGAATTGTAATAGTGGTCTCATGACTTGAGCAAAGATTTACAGTTTAGAAAATTGGGAGGTAGAAGTAAATCTTACGTATTTAGACTCCTTTCATGAGCTTCATCCAATATAATTACAGAATACTGATTTAGCTCAGGATTAGCTAGACTTTCACGAAGTAGAACTCCATCAGTAAGGTACCTAAGCAGATCACAACCATAACTTTAGAACCCAACGAATATTTTTAAAAAAAGTAATATAGAACAAAAAGGCCACCAAAACAAGCTTGATGATACTACTTAATACGCGTGTTGTCTGAAGTTCTGTCTTCAAATCGAATGGCATATCCAACTTCCTCTCCAAGCTGAACACGAAGCTCCTGTGCAACTCGTCTACGAACATTAAACAAAAAGTTTGGTCATCGATTGCACACCAAAACATTCAAACATTCTTTTAAGTGGCGTCTACCTAGCGACGGAGACGGCGGCGACCCGCCGAGGCTGGGTGATGCCAATGATACCAGATTTGCTGTAGCCTCTTCGGTGAAACATCTGTGAGAGCTGAGTGCTCTTGCCGGAACCAGTCTCGCCGATTATTACCACAACCGGGTTCTGCTCAACCGTCTCAATGATTTTCTCTTCGTATTGAACTATCGGAAGGTTTGCCATTGACGAAAAGCTCCAACCTGGCACAAATTCTGCTCAAGCTCGAGCGTATAGTGTGTTAGGATTTGGGAATTCAGATTATAATCGCAGTATGTTCTCGCGGGTTTTCTTATTTGGGCATTAAACTTCAAATTCTATATGCTAGCCTAAATCCGTAAAACGAGCTACGTGAAAATTTGCCCCCCGAAAAGCCAGGCCTGTCGTGAAATATCATCAATTTTTTAGAAAAACTTCTTATATTTTAATTTTTCTAATAATCATAATTAAAATCTTCAAAACATTTTAATTTAAGAAATTAAAATTACTTCATTAAAATAAATATTTTTTCTGCCATGAAATAAATAAGTTGTATTTTTAGGTTGCGATGTTTAGATCATGGTATTGAAAACCGGACCGGACCGGCCGGGTCAACCCGGAAACCGGTGAACCGGTCCCCTGTCCGGTCTGGGTTTGCACTTAACCCGGTGAGGGAGTGAACCGGTGTAACCCGGTCAACCCGGGTTCAACCCGGTATAACCCGGATAACCCGGTGGGTTGACTGGGTTAACCGGGTTAATATTTTTTCAGACTTTTACCCCAAAACGACGTCGTTTTTGATTTTTTTTTTCATTTTTAATTTTTCAGAGCTCTGAGTTCGGAAAAAATAACAAAAAAAAGTAAAATTGAAGTCAAAAAATAAAAAATTAGAGATAGAGCATGCTAAGTCCAAAAATATAGTATTTTATTATTATTAGACTTTTGAGTGGTTGGATTTGGTTGAATGTTTTTATAATTAATGTCTTTTTATTTAAATTGTATTATTTTAATCATGACCGGTTTGCCACCGGTTCAACCCCCGGTTCAACCCTGATTGAACCACTAACCCGTGACCCAGTGCCATGACCGGTTTAATGACCGGTCCGGTTTTACGTACCTTGGTTTAGATTGAATTAGTCGTAATTCTAGGTCTACTTCACTATAATTAAAGGACTTGACAAAATCTAAACTCACCTGAATCAAGCCAAGTAGGTTGTAAGGGCAACAAAACTTTCTCACCAAATATTTAATGCAAATGTATTTTTAACACTCCGCTACATTTATTTTTATTCTTTCTTTAGTTAAAGTGAAAAAAATAAACATAAAAAAGAAGGGGAAAAAAAAAAGAAAAAGGAAGGGTATTCATTTTAAATCTTAACGCATCTCATCCAAAATTGACATTAGTTTGGAAATGCAAGTTTTAACTCCCTTCACCAAATTTCTTTTGCTCATCAAGGGCTTAGTGATGGTTTTGGTTTCTTCAAGAAGTGATTTTGGTGGCTACCAAGCGGGCAGACAGTGGTAATTAGAGAAAAATTGAACCAATTAAATTTTGGAGGTGAGGTTGCTCTTCATTTTGATATATGATTTGCAGGGTAAAAATTGAATTTGATGGCTGCATTTCTTTTGTTAAGTTACAGCCTAGGAGGGATTTAGGAACAGAATAAGAGATATTTAGAACATGCTTTAGTATCATTTTTCTTGTATACAACCAAAACTTCTTCCAAACTAATAAGCATGAAGAAAGAATGAACGATAAATTGTAACCAAGTTTGGGGATTTTCCAATCCAAAGGTAGCAAATCTCAGCCAGTAGGGAATGCTTACAGTAGGTGAAGTAATTTGGTTTAAATAATGTTAAAAATTAGTTAAACATGATGAATTATGTAGGAAAATGCATTGAAAAAGGGATTAAGGATAAGTATGGCATTCGCAAGTGAGTCAAACTCATGCATTATTAATAATTTACAATCTAGTTGGTTAAATGAATATTAATGTGATGTTAGTAGGTGATTTGAAAGGCAGTAATTAGTGCTATTGGGGAAAGTTGCATACAGGGGAAGCTAAGCTAAGTGACTTTGGTGATCAAACTTGAAAGGTAGCAATATATATTATACCTTTATTTGAATGCATGTTTATTTGCTTTAATAAATCTCATGACTTCAATGTTTTGTGATTTATAAAAAGGAAAACATAATTTTTTAGTTACAACATTTTGTAGGCAATTTGTTATTGGTCCCTACATTTTATTTTTTATGTTTTAAGTCTCTATAATTTTTTCCATCTGCATTTTAGGTCTCTAAACTTTCAAAAAGGTGCTGATGTGGCTAACGGTGTTAATTATGCTGATGTAGGCAATAACACTGTTAATTATGTGGTGACGTGTCAGTTAGTAGCTGATATGTATTTATTTTTGGGAAAAAAAGAAAGAAAAACTTATGTGTACTTCCTTTGATCTTTATTATAAGACACTTTCAATCATTTTATGCATATTAAAAAAGTTAATTTTTTCTTGATATCATAAAATAATGATATCTACTTTCATTTTTACCATTGACTTTAAATAATGATATAATTATATTAAATACCTTATTGTTAATTAAAAAAAGATAAAACTGAAAAAAGTAGTTTAATTATTACAAAGTATCTTATATTTTATACTAAAAATTTCTTCTAAAATATGTCCTATAAATAGGACTTGAGTGAGTACTTTTTTTAATAATCAAAAAGTGAAAAAAAATTATCCTAACTCCAAACCTAAATAATATATTTTATATGTATTAAAAAATAATAAATCACTTCAAACCTAATTTTGGAACACAAAATAGCAGTAAAGACACCTTGAAATATAGGAGTGTAACAAATCTAAAAATGGACACATAACATTTTCTCATAGCTTTAAACCATATTTTTTTATATATAATAATTATTAAGAAACACATCAACTTGTCTTTCTTTCTTTTTCTCAGAAAAAAATACACATTTGCTACTAACTAACATGTCACCATATGATTAATAGTGTTATTATTCACATCAGCATAATTAATATCGTTAATGCTACGTCAGTATCCCTCTAAAAGTGTAGGGACCTAAAGTACAGATAAAAAAATTATAAAGACTTAAAATACTGAAAATAAAGTGTGGGTATTAATAGTAAATTGCTTGCAAAGTGTAAAGACTGAAAATTATAATTTTCCTTTTATAAAATGACTATGTCTTATAGTATGAGTTGGTGTTTGAAATGTGATAGTGCATTGGTAGCCAAGTGTGAAGAAATAAGCCAACTCTTTGAAATAGTTGCAGCTTATAACCTATCCCATGTATTTATGCAAGATATTTTTACAATATAGGTATCTATCAAGAAACTTTAATTATTGACTATAAGCAATTATAAGTTGTTTTTTCATAAATAGACTGGGAGGTGGTAGGTTATGATTCAAATCCTTTTATAAATAACACTTGCTATAGAAAAGAAAAAAAAGGATCAAGGGAAGCAAAAAATCAAAAGCAAAGCATGTTGTACCTAAGTATTAACGTCGTAAATGATTGCAACTACCATTCTAATTTATTTGAATATATGATACTTCTTACATGAATTACTATACCAGTACCATAACATTTGAAATATCTATTTTTATTTTTGGGGTTGAGGTCTCTTAATGTCGAACTTTATTTAAAAACTACTCCCTCTGGTTTCATTTATAAATCACATTTTAAAAAATTTATTTGATTCCATTTATAAATCATAGTCTGATTTTTTACGTAATATTTAAAAGGTATTTTAAAAATTACCCTTCATTAAAAAGAAAAAATAACATGGTATCACTTTTTGAATTTGTTAGGTAAGAGAATATTTAAAATTCTACATACGTTTATTTATTATATTTTTTTATATTGATGTAATAGAAATAACTTATAAAAAAAATCAGAAAAGTAACTTTCTAAATGAAATAATATTGTCCACATTTCAAATTGAGTTATCAATTCACGCAATTGCCAATTCTTTACAATTATTTATTAAGTGTTGTTTTTTTTTTAATTTGAATTTGCGGCGCCTGAAAAACTCGCTAATTGTATAAAAAGTTAATCATTAAATCAACATATTCAATTATTAAGCAAGCAGAAATCAGAATATACATGCTAAATAATAGAAAAGAAAAAACTCTAAACACTGTATACATTACACAAAATATTTACACATTTTTAAGGGATTTAAATCATATAACTAATATTCACATTATGAAGAGTTAGCACATCCTTCACATAACACATCCCACAAGATTTGAGATGACAAGGTTCTTTCTTTATTGTCTCCTCTAATGTCTAAAATTTCAGAGGGCCAAGACTTTGGACATTGAAAGAAATAAAAACACCCAAATCTACAGATTACGGGCTCTTTTTGCCAAAAATGGCTTCTCTTGTCACTAATGTAATCCCTCTCACCCACAACTCAGCCATCTCATTCCCACCTTGACATGCAAAATGCACCTCCTTCTTGTTCGTTGTAACCACATGGAACAATCCTTGTTCATTAAAATCATGCTTGTTCCTGCGGTTCCATCGAAACCTCGTACTGCCTCCAACCTTAGCTTCTCTACAAATCACGTTCCTCTTGTCAGATTTTCCCCACCTCAATATTCCCGAATCCCCCATCATCACTAGCAGCTTCCTATGAAATGACCCTTCACCACACTTTGTATGCTTCTTCACTCGAGCCCCACACAAGACTAATCTTCGAGCTAGCTCGTTTAATATGACTCGTTCTGCATCATTTTCTTCTGCTGATCCGTTTCCTCTTGCAAGTGAAAGTGCTGTCTCGTGTCTCTCGTTCTGGATATCACACTTGGCTCCATGAGAGATCAGAAGCTCACACATTGCTCCATGTCGTCTTCTTGCTGCTAACATTAAAGGTGTATATCCACTGTCGTCAAAAGAATTGACGTCATATCCTTCTTTTATTAGTTTCTGAACAAAATCTATGTTCCTATGACGCGTTGCACAGTGAAGAGGATTTACATCAGTGGAACAACTGCATTTCTTCTCTATTGCATATTCAAGCATAAGCTTATGAAACACTTCGCTATTTTTGTTTGCTTCAGCGAGATTAAGCGCCGTGAGGCCATGCTTGTTTTTCAGCATTAGAACATCAGCACCAGCATAAAGAAGCAACCTGAAAGCTTCTGTGTTACCTTGTTCTACGGCTATCATGGCAGCTGAGAATCCGTTACCATCTTGCTCATCTATGTTTATGTCCTTGTGTTCAATGAGCTTCTTTAATGCCTTCATATCATTTGCATGAGTTGCAAATATCGAAGCAGAAAATGCCGATGAATTGGTGGAATTGACAACACTTCCACCTCGAATCACATCCAAAATTGCCTTCTCAAACACGTCATTCCACTGAATAGAGCTTGAAATTGAAGTAACACAATCACCATATGCATTTACTAACCCCATATCAGAACCTGCTGATGCCAGAACTCTGAGGCAATCCTCATGCTTATTCCTCGCACATATCATTAAAGCAGAATCTCCAGATTTTGTCACAGAGTTCAAGTTACAATTAGTATTAATCAGAGATCTAAGAATTTTGCATAATCCAAGCCTCGCAGCCATGTGAATTGGAAGAACACAGGTTTCTTCGTTTGTTTGAATTGCCGCTTCAGAATCTGCATTACAATTTAGGAGTACAGTGACGGCTCTTTCGTTGTTACAGAGAATGGCATGGTGCAACAGGGTCCTCCCAATGTGGTAACTATTGGGGGAGAGGTGAGAGAGAAGCATGCGCAATATTGAACCAGTGGATTCATAATACTCCACAGCACACCAGGTTATAGGATAAGCCTCAGCTAGTCCTGCACCCACACGAATTTCCTCTCCTGTGTCCTTGTCCCATGACCATGCCCCTAGTTTGACCATGATGTCTGTCCTTACGCCAACCTGTTTTTTGAGGTCAAGAATTAGATAATACCTCGTTAAATCATACGTTGAGGTGGCCTAAAACAGCTGTATATATTATGTAATGAGCATACTATACCATATAATAAGTTTGAACCTTTCTTTGGGAAGAGAAGTGGATTATAGCAAGTGTTCTGTGGCAACTAACCGGATTGACTTGGAGAAATCATTTTACTGTAAATGATGTTCTAATCTTGGCACTAGTAAGAAATTCATGTAAATTTTATTTATAGTAAACTTTAGAGATATGTTATAAGTTAAAACACTAGTTTGCTAGCTTGACATAAATGACAGCGTTAATTTGTCTGCTGATGTGAGAAGCCTACCTCCAATAGTAATTTAACAACGTTAATCTGTCTGCTGACAACAGCAGCAAACAATGCATTGCAATCAACATTAACGAGAAGGAATGGCTTTGAGGATTGAAGCTTGGTCCTGCTAACTGCATTGACATCGACTCCATGCTGAAAGCATTCCAAGATATGTCATTTAAAAACCAAGCATAAATATACATATAGAGAGAGAGAGACCTCAACATAGGCATATTCCCCTTCCCGTTCTTTTATAGTACTAGCATAATTGGCCAAATAAGCCTTAATTTTCTCTTTTTTTTTTTTGCTTTCACGTGTGTGTAAAAAAGCACATTTAAGAGAGTTTCACTATTTTGAGCTCAACAAAAGCTTGAGTTTGGACTGACATGCATTGAGAGACTTAGTAATAAGTTCAAACCCTACGGATGTCATACAACAACAAATGAGAGAGAGGGAATTACAAATACGTCCCAAATAAAAGATTTATTTACAAATAAATCTCATGAATGTACAAAAATATAGTCAAATCTCTTGGGACCTAGTTATAATTTTTCTTGGGCATGAAAAAACTACACTAACCCATCTTAAAACCTGTCAAGTTGTAATTTATGAATTTTCACTTATATATTCATGAAAACGAATTGTAAACATAAAAACCTTAAAAATATCATTCTTTTCTCATATTTATAACCAGTCCTCACAAATTTACATTTGAAAAGTCATAAATTACAACTAAAATTTCATAATTTACAAGTGGACAGGGTTGAAGTTGGGATAGTGTGGTCTTCCCATACCCATGACAAATTACAACTAGACCCCAAGGAACTTAGCCATGATTTTACAAATTCAAGAAACTTATTTATAAATAAATCCCTTATTTGTAATTTCTCAAAAAAAAAATATGTTTATTCAGTTTGGCCAAAAGCAAGCCATTTTTGTTAAAACGAGGAGATTCATATCACTCACAAAAAAAAAAAACTTGTATCTCTCACTACAGACCTTGAATTTAAGAGAGAATGTAATATAATCCATGCTAAGAGCAATGGGGGTTACCTTGATGAGCACATGGACAACATCAACGAAACCTCTGCAAGAAGCAGAGACAAGGGCATAAACAGCAACCTGAGGACGAATCATGTTGGAGAGCATAAGTAGCTCAGAAAATCTGGAACGTCCCAAGCAGCTTGCTTCCACCAAAGCCTCCTCGCATGCAAGCTGTGACGCTCCTGAATTCATAAGGAGCTTCGTTACTTCTTCATGCCCTTCTCTTACTGCTGCTGTTATCGCATATCCTCGGAACAATCTTAAGTTCACCTTAGCCCCCTTATTCTGGCCCATTCAAACATCAAAATTCAAAACTAATTAACCATGAGAGAAGCAAAATGAATGAAAATTTCAATCGCTTATTTCTAGTTAAAAAAAAAAAAGATAAATCATTTGAATATTAAAAGATCAAGACAAATCATTTTCACTGAACATGTACAGTCTTTCATATTAGAACTTGATCAAGGAAACCGTGTTTCCTCCCATTTTAACCAATCTACCCTTTCATCTAATCTAATTCCATGACATCCATATCAAACGAAAAAAGATTTAGACTCAAAAATAGCATAATGCGTGTCTCATAAGTCTGCCCAATGTTAATTTAATCTTTATAATGTAAAAATTTTGTAACGAGATGTTTATAATTTTATTATTTAAAATCACATTACCTAAGCTAATTACTTAAAGTTGATGTATTGAAGTGCAAAGAAATTCTTGCGTGAACCCAATGCATCATATTATCATGCTTCCATCCAATGAAATTACATTGATTTAATCAAATAAAATCTCATGTGTTTTTATTTTTAATAATTTTATATTTAAAATAGAATGCTTATTTAATTTTTTTTTTCCCTCTTTATTATCATTAATGACATAATTAATTTCTATTTACAGCCATCTAGATGACATATTTTTATTTGATGTTGTATAAATAACGTTGAGGCACTGAACCTATGCATAAGAATTTTTGGGAATTGTGATTTTTTGTTATATAATCATTTTCTTATATTTGTCAACGTCAATTATCCAACGTATTTAGTAATGTATGGGTAAAAATAATGAATACATTTTTGTTTTATTATATAATTAAATTTAAACAATTTTATCAATAAAAGTTACATACATATATACACACATACAAATAATATATATATATATATATATATATTAAAATAATTGATAAGGACCGTCACTAACCAACTACATAAAAAATGTAACAATACATCAGGAGAAAAATTATTATCAAAACTTAAATTTATAAATACAAAGGCTTCATTGCAAAATTAAAATGAGTTTGGAAATTACGGAGGAAAATTAAGTGTTACATACTTACATTTGTTGATGCAAGATATGCGCAAGGCGAATAAAAAGCTTATCAGAAAACACAGAGACGCAAGAAAATGGCAGAAGCGAAGACCGAAATTTATCTTTCAAGTTTATCTGAGAAAATTGCTAAAGAGGTGGTTACCTACCAGTAGTTCCCTGAGCAGTGTCAAATTCCCGTTGTGAGCAGCGACAAACAGAGGAGAAACGTCGGTCTTGAACTCCTCGTACATGAACCGGACTTCATGAGGCAACTCATCGTGCAATACGATCTCCGTCGTTTTGAACCTGAGTTTCGCCGTTCCAATGAAATTGACGTCGACGAGAGGATTGGCGATGCATTGAAACGCAGAGTCTGTATCGTCGTTTAAAGCGGCATCAAGGAGGCGTTGCAAGGTCTCTGTTTGGCGATCAAAGGAGGAACGAGATGTGTGGATTGAGGAAGAGTTCAGAAGAATCGCCATTTTTAAAAGTTTTAGAAAGGCAGAGAGGAGGGAAAGCTTGTTTTATAGTGTAATTCAGGTAACTTCATATCTTGGGGATACAAAAAATGTTAACGGGAATTAATGACTGATTTGGCGCACAAAATTATTATTATTGAAATTCAAAAGGGGATGAGGATATCAATCAGTAGAATAAATAAATGAGTGTCTGGTTTTGAAAATCATGTAAATTTTCTCCTGTTCAAAATCCTAGTTACTTGGAAACCATTAATGACATAAATCTTGAATTTCAGTTTAAGGATTTGTTAAACCTACGGTACTGAAATAAAATGGATTATTAGACTGGTCACGCTGGTTTAATAGTTAACTGTCAAAATTTTAGTTGAACTATAATTAAATCAATTATAAGAAAAAAAATATGATTTATTAGTTCAACTATCAAGATTGACCCAATTTTTAATACTTTTGTTAAAGTGTTAAACTTAAACAATATATTCTCTCTACTTTTATTTATAAGTTACTTTTAATATTATACTGAAATTGAGAAAAATTTAACAAATTTTTTTTTACTTTATTCTCACTAAATATACATTTTTTTCACTAATATTTAACAGCGATAAAAGAAAAAGTTTTTAATAAAAAGTTAATAACATGTCTTATAAATATGATTAATTTTTTTTCTCAATTTTATAAATATAATTGGAAGGAAATGTGTCTCTTTTCAAAGAAGATAAAAATATTATTAACTTACCACTGAACGCTTAAATTGAATAATACAAGATCACCTTAACTTAATTAGAGATCTCAAGTTTAAGTCTTAAAAATGTAGCCAGCATGATAAATTCCTCAAGGAAATATAGTAGAGGCTTCTCCCAAAATGGGCCAACTCAATCTTAGTCTAGATTAATTTGGCCTAGCGTTTGTAGGCTGGGATACTAGAAGTTATTATGCACAAAAAAATATCATTAACTTGGCATGAAACTAAATATCTTCCTTGTCCAATAAGGTCAAAATAATATAATAAAATTATAGCTTGCTGTTTCGCACATATCAACCAGCTTCCAAAATGTAAACGGTTTCTTGAAAAAAATATTTTATTATGTTTTTAATAACTGTGCTAATATATGCCATGTATAATTATTTTACAATTAGGCCCTGCAATAAAATTATATTATGAATATTTTTTAGAAAAATTCAATCATATAATTTAAATTATAAAAATTATGTATATAATTATATATAAGTTTGTACGTAAAAATCACAGGGAGTGACTTGAAAGAATAGTCCTTCTTAACTTCAGGAGTAATGAAATAGCAAATGAAGCCTTTCCAAATCGGATTCCAGATCATCAACTGCTTAGGCCAATTATATGCAAATATTTGTAATGTTTTTTTGTTTTTTTTAAATAGTTCTTGCAAAGAGGTTTCATAGATTCCTTGGACGGAACGTCTATTTTCTATTTGGTTGAAATAATGAAACAGTAAAATGCCAAAAAATATATTTAAATAAATTTGTAATACTAATTTTGTTATTATTCAATAATGTGTTTTAATTTCTTATTTATGAAACAGATTTTTCTCCACTCTGTGATTTTCATTTCAAGTTTTCAATAGCAGCCAACGTGGTGCCGTCTAGTTGATAGTATTATACAAAATGAAGTAATAATTCTGGAGTAATTAACTTGTACTTGAAAATGTGTGTGTGTGATATCAAAACTGGTCATACAATATATAAATTCACCTTCCCAGGTAGGTAGAGAAATATTTAATTTAAAGGGAAAGTAAAAGTTTCTTAGAGGCCAAAGGAAAATCAAAAAATTTCTTCATCCGTAATTTATCCAACAAGCTCAAGTCGCGCCTCTCAAGAGATACTTGCTTCTTCATCACAGGCATACATTATACATGACCTACAAGCAATTGTGATATAGAAAAAACAAATGAAATGTGTGAAGTAGTTATGAATTACGTTTTTTTTTGGTCGAAATTATGAATTATTATTAAGTTATTAGCCAGTCTTTTAATGGTGAACTGAATTAATCAAAAACAATAAAAAAAAAAAGTTATTAACTAGTTGTTTTTGTCCCTTTTTTAAGCTTTTGCTTGCCTTTTTTATTACCTAAAGAAAATAACAATAACAATAACAGCAATCAAATTGGTTTTTGTTACTTTGTTAACCAAAAATCGTGTTAAACAGTTAATTTTATTTTTTTTAATGTTAATTATCATTTTTGTAAAAGTCATAGTTAGAATGTTATTTTTGTTTCATATAATGTTTCTTATAAAATAAAAAATATATAATTATTATACAAGTGCATAAAACAACAGAAAATCTAGGTCCAAAGAGAGAAAGGTAAGATCCACATAGATGAACTATTGGACTCGCCTCTCTCAAATAAAGGCTTTCAAGAACCAAGTTTGAATTGTAAATAAAGGCTTGGATCGATATTCTTACAGGGGAATGAGAATGACCAATGTAAAATAAAGGCTTTCAAGAATCAAATTTTAATAATTAAAAAAAAGAGAGAGAATCAATTTTTAAATATTGAGATTTGAGTTGTGAATTCTGAAATTATAGTTATAAGATGTGTTAGGTTATTCAAAAATGAACATAAATGATATAGTAAATGTTACAGAAAATAAAGTTGGATTTAATAACTAATATAAGATAAAAAAAACATGTAAACTTAAGTCTTGATATTTTGAATTAAAATGTGGTACCCTTCAATTATTCTTGCCCGTCTCTCCTCTCCTTTCCTCTCATTTTCGGACGATCATTCCATATTTTTAACAAAAAGTCATTAATATTTTTTAAAAATCTTTATTTGTCATTCTTCCAACTATCATTCAAGCATTGGAATAAATTAATCATACACCATTGGAACCAATTTGCTTAATATGTATTACTTCTGGTCTTATTTATAAAATATTTTTAATTAAAGAGCACAAATTAAAAATGTGATTAAAATTAGTTAAGATTCTTGATTTTTTTCAAAAAAAGTTATAGAAGGGTTAATGAACAAATAGAATCATGAACTTTTGCTCAAAAATCGCCTTAGACCTTAAATTCTTAAAATTTGTGAAATAAACCTAAAATTTTAAATTCATAACGAAATAAACCCTGTTCATTAACTTTTTATAATATTAGCTTTAAGACAGTTAACTAATTTATTCGGAGTAAGATTGAATTAAAAATACATTACATTTTTTTAACAAATAGAGCGCGCACGTGCGCGCAAAAGTACTCCCTCATTTTAAAAATCTGCCCAAAAAACATAAAAAATGGGTTAAAAGTAATTTAACATCCAAATTATAGGTCCATAAGTATTTGAAACCTTAAACTCATTTTTTTTGTGCAACGTTGTCCCTCAACTTTAAAAATGATACAATGTAACTACAATCATTAAGAAAAATTAAGTTTAACTATTAGTTGATTAGAAAATTTTTTTAATCTTTTTTTGTAATTTTTTTCAATCATTGTCTATAATTTTTGGGTTCTTCACTATAATTTTTTATTTTTTTTCTATCATTTTCTAATCAATCAACATTTAAAGTTAACTTTTAAGGGTAAAAGTTATGCATTACATTGTTTTTAAAAGTTGAGAGACATTATAGAAAAACAAGTTGAGGATCCTAGATGCTTCTAAGCTTGTTGTTTAGGAGTTAATTGCCCTTGAATCCTTAAAACATTTGTTTTGGTCATAAACGTAAATGTAAGATTTTAAAATTTGTTCCTTATGTCATTCATTCATTATTTTTTTTTTACAAAAAAAAAGAAGAAGCACAGATTTGTTTTTTTACGAATAACTAATTTTAGTTCATAAGCTATTGTATTTAATATCGGAGGAGTACAAATATGTATGTATGTGTGTGTGAGGGTCCTACCGATGAAGATACTGTAAATTAAAGTTAGTCCTTACAGATATTGTTGGAAGTATAGTGAGTACATGTAGAAGCAGGTTGAGTCTTGAGCACATCATAGTGACCATAACCATGATACATCACTTGGATTGGGCAATCCTTCCCATACTCTTGCCCATATTCTGCTATCACCTTCAATCCTCCGCTTTTCTTGTCTTGCATCACCACTCTTATTGGCATCCTACACAGTTAAATTAATTACACTCACCATATTAATTACTTTATATTTGACTTTGCTACCTGGTTTGATTCATTCATTACAAAAGTAACTTGATTCAAAGATTATACAGCATGCCTAATTTGGAACAAAATAGAACAATACTCCCTGCTCCGTTTAAAATATAAAATATTTTTTTTAAGGTAAGATGTTTAGAAAATATATAAGGCATTTTATGTCTTTAAGTGTGATTCATTATTGTTTAAAAAGATATCCTAAATTATATATATATATATGACGGAAGGAGTATGATTTTCAATTATACATATTCCATCCAATTTTATTTATAAAGTATAAAGAAAATTTGTTTATCCTATTAATTTTATTATAAATTTTCTCTTTTACCCCATTAAATGCAAGTAAAAAAATTATGTTATTAAAATATATACATATTTAATTGAGATAAATTTAAAAACTTATTAAATTTTTAGACAAATTAATGAATTTTAATATTTTTTGACTCTATTTACACATAGTACTGGACAAATGAGCTATAAGCCAACTTGTGAGCTAGCCCATGCTGGCTGGTATTTTTACAAATTGAGTTGGACCAGCCTATCAAATAAAATGAGATAAAAAACCCAACCCAATTTATTTTCTGGTGGGTTAGGCAGTTCGTGAGCTGGCTCGCAAAATTTACCAAAATTTTTTTAAACAGTTCAAAATTTATATAATATAATTTATTTTATTTCATATTTTAAGGTAAATTAACAATTAAAAGAACTTGTAAATAAATAAAATAAATATAAAATTCAACTAAGTAAATTCATTTTACTAGATTTTTATAATTAATCATCTCCTCACCTAAGTGTGTTATCTTTTTCACTAAGAAAAAAAATTTAAATATAAACTCATATTATTTTTTTAATTAATTCATATTTTGATTTCAATCAATAGATCTTATAATATTAATAAATAATATATATTCAAAATATTTCTATAGAAACTAATAATCATCAATTTATAAACTATAACAAAATTTCATTTGCAAATTGTAAGAAAGATTTACATTATCTTTCAAATATAAAGAACATATTTGTAAGTCATAAATTATATATTTGAGAAGTATTATCATTATTATAAATTTATAAAAAATAATATGATTAAAAAATAAAAAATTATTTTTAAAAAATATGCTAGCTCACGAGCTAACTCATTTTAATTTTTAATTTTGTAAGTTGAGTTACCTCAGCTAATTTATTTAATTTAATCTGTTAAACTTACGGGTTAAATAGATTAGTGTGTAGGCTCAATCTGTTTTACCGCTACACTTGCAGATGGTTGAAGTAATATAAAAGCTAGCCTAAGAAAATCAAGAACCAAAAGAATTTGCAAGGGTAAAGTAATGATTTTACTGTAAAACATGAGAGGACATGAGAAGCTCCGGCTCTCCTGCCCAAACGTGAGACTTTCGCATTTGTCCTGTGTAGGTGTCAAAGTCACCCTCAAGAAACCTATCCAATACAATATTTGATTATTTCTTCATTGACATTTCGCTCTCTAAAAAAAAAAATTCCCATAAAAAAAATCATTTGTACCATGCAGTGTCTGCTCTCCTCTTGATGAATTCATCCACTACCTGAACAAACCATTAATATTAAGTTCAACATGACATCATTAACTCTTCATGTATGTGTCAGAAAATTAAGGTTAAAGAAACAAACTGCATATGACGAAACATGCCAAAAAAACATAGATTATTTTTTGAATAAGAAAGAAGTAAAGGGTAATATTGGGACTTTGTTTCTGAGATCATCTGCGAGTTGTTTTTGCTTGGCGTTGCTGGGAGATGGGTCGCCAGATCTGAGGCAGGCACCATATACCACTGATCTGAACAAACATCTTCCATCTCCAGGTACTCCTGCTCTATACAAATCCTTCCAATTCAATCAAATAGTAATAACAATAATATTACTAATAAAAGTATTTAAATAAATCTAAGTATAAGTAATTAATACACTGCAAAAATACGTATAAAAGCTGAAAAGCAGAACGTACGAATTACTGGAAGGCGAGAAGGGTCGTCGACAACAGCATGGGATTTTTCTGGTTTTGACATGATTGAGAAAGAGTAAATGAGAAACATTATTTGCAGAAACAAAGTTTGATGAATTCCATAGAGAAGCGGGGAGAGAGAGAGAGATAGTGGGAACGAAGAGAGAATCAACAGGCTGGAGATGTCTCTTTTGGGTGTAGAGGTGAAGTTGATGTGCAATTCCTTATAGCTTCATTAATTGCAGGGATCGAATCCGATGCCATTGCTTTCTTTACTCTCGTGTTTGTGTGCGTGGTTCAACTGGATCTATCACTGCATCATTATTTCTTGTGTTGAAAGAGCTTTTTCCTCCCTCACACGTGGTGCAATTTTATCCTTTAATATTTAAAAATGGTTTCAAAAACTCCATAGAAAATTGCTGGAAACTTTCGCTTACCTTCAGTGCTCACAGACCCAAATATAAAGGCCAATATATGCGTGAGAAAAATAAAGTAGGTGCTCAATGTGTATTGAGAGCATACCAACCTATTAATTTAGATTCTATCCAATCCTATTTGCTAATTAGATCAAAGATTATAATAGATAAAAAAAATTAAAGAATCCCATTACTATAATAAATGAGCACAAAAATAGCAAGAGAAAACAATCAAATACAAATAAGGAAAAAGGTCAAAAAAATAAAAAAAAAGGTAATTAAAAAAAGGATATATCATTTTGAATAATCAACATAAATGGGCTTGATTCTCCAACTGTTTTCAGTAGAGTCATCATATTATTGTGCCTAAACAGCTATCTCTTTGGAGGGAGAAATTAAAAAAATGTAGGAGTTGTCACCAAAATTTTAAGAGAATAATTTTGAAAACCTTATTAAAAATGGTTTACAATAATTAAAAGAGGGTTCAAAAGTTGGTTGTGCATTGGAAATGTGTTAGGCAACCCATAACACTCATTCATGAGAACAGTTACCTTAAGTTAACTAAACAAAATTAATATGACTTTAAATGTGATTACCCTTAATAAAACAAAAACAATAAAAAGAAGAAAAGAAGAAAAATTAAATCAAACAAAAAAATTATTTATTTACAAGTTGAACTTAACTTAGGATAAAAAATCTAGAGCTTATGTATCCTTTAAAGGAATCAAAACTAACATAATTTGAGAATAAAATTTCACATCATTTTATTGGTGACTTTTAGGAGAATGATTTGTTAATTTTAAAAATAATTTGTTGGTTGGCTTTGTATCTTTTAATTTATTAAAGATTTAAAGTGACTTCCTTTGTTATCTGACAAAAGATCTTGAAAGAAAAATTTTAGCTTGAAGTTATTGTAAAAATTTTAAAAATCTCACACAAAACCTCACATAGCATAAAAGAAAATTTTCCTTATTTTAATCAAAAAAAGGTGAATTTGAAATTAAGTACAAATTAAATACATTGATTGGTATGCCTACAATGACTTATTGCTATATATCGCATACCAATCGACTATATACCTGTGAAGATTTAAAAAAACTCATATGGTAAAAGTTTAAAGCCGGACATAGGGGGAAAATTGAAACCCTTTTGAAATAAAAATAATTTTCAAATAAAAAAGTAAGAATTATATATACGTGACATTCAACCAAAAGAAAGGGCATTTAGATAATAAGAACACTATATAACACAATTAAGCATTTGCCAGGCTTGTATTACCAAGGGAGGTAGGAAATAAATGAATAAAGAATGAAGAAGAAGAAGAAGAAAATCAAGAAGCAAGTGACATTTGAATATCAACATGCAATATGTTAAAAAAGGAAATGTTAAATCGAAAGGGAAAAAAAAAAAAGAAACACAAATAAATAAATGAAATGAGAAAAAACAAAACAAAAGTTATATGCACACTGCACACAATCGAAGAGAGAACAGGACAAATAGAAATCGGGAAAAAAGAAAAGGAATAGAAAACGAGGAAAGACCAAAATAATAAAATAAACAAAGTAAAAGAAGATAAACCCATCCTAACTATTGTTAATTCTACCCTTCAGCCATTAACGTTAAGATCACATGTGCAGCCAAAAGCATGAGGGCATTAGCTTTTCTTAGGGTATTTGGAAACATTAGAGGCTGGGCTTTGAGGGGGGAAAAGAGTGAAAGAAAGAAGCAAATTCAAATGTGAGGATAATATTTTTTTATGAATTCACAAAATACTGGAACGTGTGATTCATAAGAAAGTGTCCAAGGTGAGAAGATGTGATATAAGACAACATAGTTCTTTACCTTTACTAAACAAACTTTCTTCTCTTCCTTTAAGCCCTCTCCTTTACCTTCCCTTTTCCGTCTCCCTCTTTTTTTGAATTCCTTTGCCTCCTCCTCCTCCTCTACTTCTTTTATACACACAACAATGATTTTCCCCATCAATGATCCAATCTCACCAAATCGTAATCTCCAATTAATTCTCAATTGAACTTCATCATTAGTTCCAAATCGTCATTATGGTTTACATCTTTCACAACCATAAAAGGGAGATTATTATTTTCAAAAATTAATGTTGGATTACGACATCTTCCAAACATAAAGTGCAAGAGGATTTTTTTTATTTTTTATTTTTTAATTGTTTAAATTGTGAACCATAAGACTTTTTTATTTCCATCATTATTTATTTATTTATTATTTTTTGGAGATCTGGACAAAACATGAAGTTCACAATTCATTAAGTTTTTAAGTTATCTTCATGTTGTTTTAGCTAATAAAGCCTTATTAAACAATTCAAAATCCTAAATCATGTACCACCTTGGCTTCTTTAATATCCTCCAAGCCTTTCGATGAATCTTGCTTTCCCGGTTTACTTTTTTGGCTCACCAAAAATTAGCAATCATGCTATCTAAATCAACACAAACTTTTTGGAAAAATGGGTGTAGCACTCGCCACTGCCTCTCACTTTCGCTTTCCTTCCTACAAAGGTTAACAACCTTTGTTTCAATCCTTGCAACTTGAAACCCATCTTACTCTCCACAAATGCCAAAACTTCAATCTTCAACCTCCCCCAAATACTCCCTAAGGGAATAGGTTACAATAATTCCCAAAACATCAAAAATCTCCTCTTTCAGTTTATTCCTTGCATGTCTAGAAAAGAAAATGTAAGACTTATCCAAATTGATAGCTTAATTAGAAGCCTTACAGTAAGTCTCAAAAATCTTTTGTAAAACTCTACAATTTCTCTTCTTTACATCAAGAAAAAACAACGCATCATCTATAAATAGACAATGAGACAACACTGGACACTTTACAGCAAGTTTTATTCCTTTCAACTTCCCACAATCCACATGCAATTATACTATTCTCAACAGAACATCCACTGCCATAATAAAAGGTAAGGAGATAATGGATCTCCTTATCTTACACCCCTTCCCGTCTCAAGTGCAACAATGGACTTTCTACCAATCATCAAATTAAGCTTGACAAAATGAACACACTCTATGACCAAGAGATCCACATTTCACCAAAACCCAACTTCCTCATTATAGCGTCAATGAAATTCCACTCAAGCCTATCATAGGCTTTATTACGATCCACGTTCACAGCCATCTCCACCTTATTACCTTTCTTTTTTATTTTTTGAATAATGAAAGTTTTATGAGCAATTACTATATTATCCTAAATCAATATCCCAGGCACAAAGGCTCTCCAATATTCAAAAATAATTCTAGGCAAAATGTTTTTTAATCTATTTGCCAAAACCTTTGAAATAGTCTTATCATTGAAATTGCAAAGATCAATTGGCCAAAGCTAACCCATATTAACAGCATTATCAACCTTAGGTATCAATATCACATTGGTATTATTAATATCTCTCAAACTCATTAGATTCTAAAAAAAAAATATTACACCATTTTAATCACATTAGGACTTACCTCTCTCCAGGCATACTAATAAAAAGCTCTAGAACTTCCATCTAGTCTAGGCGCTTTGTTTGCACCAAACTAGAAGGCTACCACCTAATTTCTACAATAGAGACCTCACCTTGTAACATTTGATTCTCTTTAGTAATTACACTATAATCAATAAATTTCAACACATCCTCAATGCCCACATAACCTTCAGAAGTAAACAAGGAATTATAAAACTTAGCAAATGCACCATTAATCTGATGCACGTCATTTAGCTAAACACCATCCTTATTTCTTAATTTTAAAACTCTATTCCTCATTCTTCTCTATAACACATTGTGTGAAAAAACTTGTGTTCCCATCACCATCCCCTAGCCACCACATTTTAGATCTCTGCCACTAATATTTTTCATCCCTTCCCTATGCCTCCTCAATCTTTTTAACCAATTCTTAAGCTTGGGTCAAATTATCAAAAGTCCATAAACCTCTATGATAAGCCTCTAGTTGAGTAGTCAACTTTTCTATAGTTTTCCAAGCATTAGGAAAAACCTCCTTTGTCCAATTAGATAAAACCTTCTTTCAATTTTCCAAACTCCACACAACCTCCATCACCTTATTCTCATACTAGTCCACATCAACATTCCAGTCTCTCCTCACAATCTACAAATAATTCTCATCCTTAATCCAATTTGCCTCAAAGTGAAAAGATCTTTAACCCTTAATCAACTTATACTCATAGTCAACCACAAGAAAATGGTGGTCTAAACCCATTAGTTCAATATGTGTCACATGTGTCACAACAATATTTGGATACAATTCCCTAAATTCCACATTTCCAACTGCCCTACCAATCTTTTTTTCACATGGCCATCCCCTAACCTTCCATTACACAATGTAAAAAGCTCCCCTCTAAACCTTAAATCAATCAACCCATAATCTAGAAGCATACTTTAAAAACTCAAGACTTTGCTCAAATTCATAAGACGCATGCCAAGCTTTTTAGAACTTTACAAAATGCCATTGAAATTTCTAAGACATAGCCAAGATCCTATAGCTCCAACAAAAATGCTCCTCATCTTATTCCACACCAACAATTTATCTTCAATTTATGAGGCCCCATATATAAAGATAACATAACATGATACCTATTTCAAATCAAAATTCATACTCACATGAATTAAATTCCTTGAGCTACACCATACATTGATCACAACGTCTTCCTTCCACTATAGCGCCAAACCACCCCTACTGCTAACAAGATCAACATAGAATTCCTTATCCAATCTACACTTCCTTCTCAATTTCTCTAAACCACTTCTACCCATCCTTGTTTCCATTAAGAACACAACTAAGGGATAATTCAACTTACACTCCTCTCTTAGTTTTTTTAACTATAAAGGCTCTTTTCAAGCCTTGACAATTCCATGCAATAAGCTTC